TGGGTAGTGAGTGCAAAGTCATGCATAGTTTGAGGCAAAAGCTTCTAAAGTCAATGAATCGAAACTCCATCCAATAATTCTCTTTAGGAGTGGCTGTCAAAATTCAAGGACGTATGTACTCGTTAATGCGTATGTGATTCCCATGTGCAGTTCAGAAAAACATGTGATGTAATACTTTAAAACTGATGATTACACATTGTTTTTCAATCAACATTAGTGAAAACTGTACGCTTAGTTCAGTAGCGACGCTTTCATTGGGAAACCCGCGATCTCACCATCTACCTTACTGTCCAGCGCCTAGAAAGTCACTTCACTGGCTAAGCTATCCGAATACGAACTAAAGCAATGAATACCACAGCGTATTCATAGCACCGAACACATGATAAATAACGTGTTTTAAACTGAAACCCACACCATCTTGCTTTACTCGAAGACTGGACGAAACCTTATAGATTAAAAAAGGCTCACCTAACAGAAAATTGTACGTGACATAAAATACAGACCTCATTAAGACCAACTAAAGCCTTATTCGAATAAATACCTACAGAATTTAATACACACCATTAAAACGTACGTCAGGTACTTTGGAAATCCGTCATAAGCAGATTTGACTGGACCACGTTTAGCATAAAAAAACCCGGACTCTCGGTCTAACAGACTAATATTTATGACTGCAGAAAAGAATATAAGCTTACGACTCAAACAAGATGTTAAATTACTCCTACATTGAAGATGGCTGTCTTCTGGGTTGCGCCGTGTCCAGACTACACGGCGCAACAACCCAGAAGACAGCCATCTTCAGACTCACGGCCGTGAAAACCTCAAATCCTACATACTCCTAAATTAGTAAATGTAAAATTTTAGGTTCTCGCGGCAGTGAAGATGTCGATGTTAATCTTCTGGTGTGTAACGCCGTGTGGTGGACTTCTAGGTAGATACCAATGTCACTGAGGAACGTATTGCCTCCATCTTCAGTGGTGAACGGCGTTGAAACCCAGAAGACCAACATAGACATAACAGTAAATACTTCAAAACTCTAGCGACCTTCAGCTATCGTAAGAAATTCAAATCCATAGGAATGTGGGCACATACCTCTGTTAAAAGAGAAACTTACATGATAATGCTAGATATCTATGGTAAAATATAGGGCATATTAATATTACTGCTGACAGATGATAAACAAAACAAACCCCACAGACACAAACACTAATTGGCCATCTCGATAAGGGAGTGATGTTTCGTATTTTGTACTACAAACAAGTTCACCTGAACGCAAGGTCATGTCACATCTCCATCCATAAGAAGCAAGGTCTCAGCGTTTCAAGTATTCCATTTACAGGGTTCCTAATAAGTGGTGACAGTGGCAATTTCTTCTGAATAAACATATTACGAAAACATTAATCGGAACTCATAACAATACAATATGGTAGTTGTTGCACAACCATTTTATTGTACGTAAACCTTGGGATCCCATGCACTTGTTTATGCAGTTTTACGCTGACACATGCCGAACAATGAAACAATTTACACAATAGAGTAATTTGATGGACTAGCTCGAATTTTATTAATGTTCGTAAAAAAAATTGTGAACAAACAAAAAGAAGATTCGGATAATGTTACCTAACATTCGAGTTAAGAGAATTTTGTAAAAGACGAGTTTTGAATTATTCGGGAGGATGAACACACATTCGAACACAATTTATGCGTTCCTTATTTTTATCTGTGATGGTATAATGCTCCTGTTGCAAACATCTCTCAGGATTCCGAACTCCTGTTCTACTTTACTTAGACCTAAGGTTTTATAAATCTTACTCTCAGGATTCAGGATCCTAGAAATTTTAAACATCCAGGACTTCAATGTTTCGTATCACAGAATTTTTAAAAGAAGTCTAAGGTCCACTTAATCTGATTTCCGACCAACAAACCATAATAAAAGGGCGCATCTATAAAAGCTTAATTTTTCTGTTACGAAATTAGCGTATTACAAATATAGTATTTAATTTCTCAACATAATACCCACATCTCTTCCATTATAAGGGCAACTTTCTTTCGTGCATTCAGCTTTTATTTACTGTATCAATCACTAGGTGTCATGTGGCAACTCGCGTCCATTCTGGAGCTATAAATCAACAGCTAATGCGTGTGTGTTTTAGCGTGATTGGAATATGAAGTCCTCGAGTAAAATTAATTTAAAATATTCCAAAAACCTCTAGTGTTTTAATTAAAGAGTAAGAAAAATCGGGAAAATGAAATTAAAGGGAATTTCGGGACATTCAATTAACACGTTAGAAATTATTCTACTCTCAACTAAATATGACACAGTTTAACAAATAAATCATAATACTAATGTACAGTAAATAAATATCTTACTTTTTGAAATGTCTTGTGGATCTTCACTACAGTATTTCCTGGCTGCACATTTTCTAAATATAAAGTATGGGTCCATACACAGCACAAATATTTTGACCACATTATTACAAAATTAGTTCGGTTTAAAATCTGCAAAGAAAATGAAAGTCTTGACGAAGAGTAAAATGTTACCACGATGTATCAATCAACAGGTTTCCACGTATGAATCACACCACGACCGAGACCCGCTGGGGAGGACACTAAACATGTAGTAGCACTTTTACACGATAAAACCGTTTATGTTCTCGACTCTATTATATCTCTGCCGGTAGAGGGTTGGGGCAGATCTCTCCTCTTCTACCAACTATATTGGTGGGGGAGAGGGTCCTTCCTGAAGCCGCTGACAGCACAGACACTTCTGCCAAGTTAAATCTTGGTCAACTATCCCTTTGCTGCTGAAACAACATCACATTCTCCTTTTCGAACGAAGAAACACGGACAACGAAAAAAAAAAGGGGGCCACTGACAATCTACTACGTCCAACAGCTGAGAGCTCTTGGTTAGTTCTGAGTGGGAGACTTCTAGACTCAGCCTACGTGAGTTTCTTTGCAGCTTACTGCACTTGATGTGAAAGTCGCGGATTCTCTTTACTTACACGATTATGAGTGAACGCGCGTCGCAGCTCGCTTTTACAATACCCAAGGAGAGGAACGGCGGAAGACGCACTTCACATTCGGATTCATTCACCGTTATATTTGCAAAGCGTTCAGTGACACAGCCACTGCCAGAGAGTCCTCCATACCGTAAATGGAAGAGATAAAAGGGCACTGAACTTGCTAACTTAACATTCATACAACTCGAGATCGGTGACGTCCAAGGTCGCCTCTCGTTCTTTCGTGTTGGTGTAAATTCAGCAGAAGCAAACCCAAAAGATGCGGAGGCTGCAAAGCAAGGGAGTGCCCTTTTCCCTGGTGGTCCGTAAATTAAAGTTCCATTAATATACTTAAGTACTGCTCTATTCTAACTCCTCCCAGTTGGAATTTGAGGCCTTAACGGCGAACGTACAGACTGTGGGCTTCCGGATTAGGCCCATGGCATCGTGTTGGATCGTAGGCGATTATCACAACATGGGGCCTAAGTCTTTTCCAGTTATTTCTTACTAGGCAGTATTCATACACCAGAAACGCTAATGGACGAAAATAAATATTTTTCGTACGATTCAAAAGTTGGCTTGTCTTATACGTAGCTTACGCGTGCGCGAATTGACTTTGGCGATTCTTATCCAGTACCTTCATGGTTTTATTCACTACAATGAAGAACATTAGAAAAAATCCTTAAACTACGTTACTAAGCGTCCTTTTTCCCGAAGATCGCTGCTTACAGCCTTCTTCATGACTCGTCGCTCTGATGATGGAGGCAGTACGCACCTCTTAAATATCAGTAAACTTCTACCAGACTACACGGCGTAACATCCCAACCGACAGCCAAAATATAATACACATGCTATAGTTCTCAAAGGAAAAGACTACATCAAATGGCTCAGGAAAATACTTGAATCTAAGAAGGATAAAGTAATTAATCAAATTTGAACATTACATAACAATTTCATGCTTCATACAGGTCACATAATATTGGTAAGATACTAAAATCAAGGAGACTATGACAGGCTGGCTAGAATCGGGAAGACCAATAAAAACATACATTTTTGTGATAAAACACCACTTTGAAGACTAAGGCGATGGGACTATAGCAATAATATGGATCTTAGGGAGGCAGGCTATGATAACCAAAGGTGGATGGAACTGGCTCAGGATAGTGTCAAATGGTTTTATCTTTTATTAACAGTGCTGAACCTTTAGGTGGATTATGAATATTGACATCGGGAAAGGATGTGGAATAAAGTGACTGTGGCCTATTTCAAGGTACTATTATCATTACATCTGAAAGAATTGAGGAAAACCACAGAAAGCATCAGTCAGAATAGCTGGCCTTCAAACCAAGATTAAAATATCGGAACCTTCATTAACGTATTGAGGATATGAAGGCATAGGGACCAAAGATAAAATGACATAACAGTAAATATGAAATTACTGTTCAAAAAACAAATCCTTTATTATTCGTTGCTGATTATAATTTAATATACCAATAAATGTTGGTATCAGCTTTAATGATTTAACATTACATCAATTACCACATTCCTGAGTATTGTAATGTTTGATACATGATCAAAGTTTTCAGGCAATTATATCTTGTGTACATAACACTAAAAGGAGATGCAACAATGTACATGACGAGAAGATAAAAAATATTCAAACACTTCCATCTGATATTAGATGATGAATATGTATTGGTCCAAAATGTCACCAAGATTCCTACTGCAAGATGACTATTTTGAGATGGCAAAAAGACCAAAATAAATATCTGTGAAGTATACAGCATAAATAATAATAATAATAATCCGTGGCGTAATAGCCCTCTGAGAGCAAAAGCCGACTAGCTGGCTTCTGGCCTCACGTTCACATGCCTAAGCAGAGGTGAACGATCATCCAACCAGATATAGAGTGACATGTGGTCAGCATGACGAACCCCCAGCCATTGCTAGCTTTCATGACAGGATTACGCTACTCATCGTAGCTCCCCAATTTCCTCACGATGCTGGGTTGGCACCGGTCCCATACACCGGTCGATAATCTCGTAAGAAATTTCTTTCCCTGAGACTCGAACTGGCGCGCATTCTGTATCACTGGTCTGAAGCATGATGCCTCAGACCGCGCAGCTATGGCGCGGGACCTACAGCATAAATATCAAACATATGTATATTATGTGGAAAGCATGACTTTAACTTGAGAGTTAATGGTTTGACAGTGCAATAATGCAATGTGCGGCCAGGAGGCCCACACTTAAGCTGTGATGTATGGTTGATAAAGGTTAATTTCATGAAAATAAAGTAGATAGGTATGACAATTTAGATGTGAAAAGTTTTGAACACATTCTCACCAATTTATGTTTTTGATACATATAGCTTTTACAAGGCTGTTAAAATGAAGTTCACTGTCTTTACAAAGAAGAAATTATCATGGACATATACATAATCAAACCACAGAAATGTATTTATAAACTCAAAATCTCTTGGTTTAAAACTTCTGAAGAGATCACCACGTCCTGCAACGGACTGTGTAACATGTTAGCAGTAGCCAACAAAGGAACTTGGAAGTCAAACCTAAAGTATAATTTATGTTAAAACTGTGAAATGAACAAATCTGATCCACAATTCATTCGAACAGCTGTCTACCCAGAAGAATATGCAGCACTAAAATTCAGAGCATTGCCCCAGTCTTTCAACCCAACTACACATCTCAACAAATGATTTTTGTTCTCATTCATATGAGACTAGGTAGGTGTAACCATTCTGGAGCCAAGCGCAGAACATTGTCTCCTGTAAATATATGACTGTGTTTTGACACACATTTAAAGTGCTGGATGACTTTCACATTAATTTCAAGCATACATCTGAACAGGAATCAAATCCTGGACCATCTAAAGGAGAGTCCAGTGTCTTATCTCAAATCCTCCCACCATTCTCTGGTAAACGAAGTGAAGGTTCGCCACTGTTAATATCAAAACCTGCCACTGAACATGAGGCTGAGCTAATGCCACCCACCTTCCATCTTCACAACCTATCTCTGCAGAGCCAACTTAAATTGTAACACATATGTGGATGCAGTGATGTGGGGATTGTGAGCATTGATTTTGATCCTCTACGCAGGACACAAGGAGTTATTCTTTCTTAAATCACAGTGGTTAAAATACCACTAACTTGGAAAAGGAAAACTCAAAGCAAAGGTAAGCCAGCCCATCCTAGCACAGCGTATTGTCATAATCCAAATTGGAAATGCAAACACAGGAACAAAGGTAAGAAGATCAACTTACAGTTATCCTTATATTCAACTCTTTTTAAGGACAAGGACTCCAATAGCTGTGGTGGCATCTATGACAGCTGGTAGCATACTGCAAAATGCAAACACCCACCAATACAAGCTGCAGTCCCATTCATCAAACAAGAAGTATGCAAGGAGGACAGAGGCACTGAAGTGAGCAGCAATAGCTGTAAAACTGTAGTCAAGGAACAACTCTGTCATAGAAACTTATTTCTGTATCCATTTTAGTGGTTTATTTAACAATGCCATCGGTAGCTCAGACTATATAAAGTCAAATGATTAATGAACAATGAATCTGAAAGGATATGGAATTCCATATAGCCTAATTAAAGGTACTGTCATGGCATTTTCCTGGAGATACTGAGAAAAACCTCACTCAGAACTCAGTCTTCAGGCCAAAGTTTTAATCTGAGACCAAACAAATATGAAGCTTGAGTGTTAACCACTCAGCTATGATCTGTATCTAGGAGCTGAATTTCTACAAGAGAGGATAACTGACAGAATCATTGAGAAGTTTGGCTTAAACACATGTTCAGATCGAAGCTTCATTTGTTTCCATAACTGTCTTATTGTTTTATATTTGAATGCATGTAGCATTTCCACAATTGTACTACAACCTTCAGCCACATCATATTGTACTGCTTCCTTTTTTATAGTGTGAAAGGATACAAATCATTGCTGCAGAAGGCATGAACATTGTTATTCCCAGTAAAAATGTCAACAACTCAAAGCCAATCAACATTATGGCTATTCCCAATCCAGTTTGTAACCTGAAACAGAATAACATATGTTAAGTAATTAAACTAAAACAAAAAAAGGGGGGGGGAAGAGAAATCAACAAAAGGAAATATGAAAATGTAGCATTTCCTTTTATTAAGAACATGAACATTCAATTAATCACCGAGTACAATGTTACTGCTGCAATTGCGTAAGACTATGTCTCAATGGAACTGTTGTTGCTAATGGGCCCTATGTCCATCCACTAAATGACAGAAGTAAATATGGAGCAATGGTGGAATAATATCGACAGGAGAAAACCAACTTTCTTCTGAGCAGGGCTGTGGAGTCGGCACTAAAATCTCAGACTCCGACTCTTTCATAAAACCTCAAAATGTATTAATAACGGTAAACTTGCTAAAATGATAAATGGCACCATAAGAGATTTCATCACCAAAACGTGAATCATCAGCCTACTTTTTAGACTTATAACCTATATTTAAATATACGTCTAATGGTTATTGCAGAAATCGGTTGTTTTGTAGACAGTTTGTATTCTTAAGGTACTGAAGCCAAAGTTACAAAGCATTATTCTCACCCCATGTGGCTCAACGTGTCGTTGAATTTCCCTAAGTGTGAGGCTGCTGGCAGCTCACACGGTATAGAAATTGTTCTTAATATTTTATATCGAGGTTGGAGTCGGTACATTTTTACCGACTCCACAGCCCTGCTTCTGAGATAGTGAGCCATGTAATTTAGTAGAAACTGACTGATGTTTGAGAAGTACTTCCTGCCTTCATCATCAGATCCTAATGGTCAGTCAATTTCAACATGACACAACATCCCAGAAAAGAGTCATCTTCATACTTGCTGCTGAGAACCTGAAACCTCATCTGGAGAAAAACCTGTCCCAGTGCCACAATGTCCATCACAAATGTAACATGGACTGACTTGGGAGTGAACCTGGGCTGCTGCATTGAAAAGCCAGTGTCTAACAACCTGCGTTACAGCACATACTATTGTAAAACGTACTATCCATTTAAAAACAATCACAGGCTTCTGCAAATGGTCACAGAGGGAGTTTTAGAACTGCATATATCATTATTTTAATTAACAAACCTCTAATAAAACTATTTTCTTCATATCTGTACAAAGTATAAATTAAAAATAACTTACTCAATGTCCTTTCTTGAATAATCCTCAGTTGTGTATTCAAATGGTAAGCAGGCCTTTATATTTTCATCCTAAAATAATAAAAAAAGATACTTAAGATCACTTAAGTCATCTGTCATAATTATGACATACCATGCATGCAAGAAGCATATGTAACTAGTCATTGCATTATAGTTATTACACAACTTACTCTGGACCACAGTATTATGATGACAATTGTGAGGTGAGATATAAGAGTAAGAAATCTTGCAGGAATAAGACCTCCAGCAATAAAAACCATTGTTCCTGCAGAGGGAACATATATTTCATTAGAACCTGAGAAACTAATTTACTATGCAAGCAGTTCTGTGTTTTAAGAGCTGGGCTCATGCTCACTTTTTCTTATTGACTAACAGGCTGCCAAAATATAAAATTAATTTCCTTAAACTTCATGACAGTTTATTAAAAATGTTGTTACATTACTGTTGTGAACAGATTCACATATTACTCAATAAATTTCTTTAAGGGACCCACTGATTTGTTATTCAAATTATTCACTTAAAATTAAATACCATATCTAATTTAGGGGGCAAGTGTTTTCTTGTTTGTGTTTTCTCATGGTGACATAATGTTACATAAATGTACATAGACCAACAAATGACAACAGCAAACTGTGGGTTGATACTTCATATAATATAATATGTAATATGCCCAGAACTGTCCACAACTAAGTTTTTGTTCCATTTGCACCTGTGACAATTCAAAATGTAATTTTACATTAACCAAGTGATTTCACATTCTTGCATTTTTATGCTGTATAATTTAATGAAATAAGAACTAGAGGGAAAATATGTTGCAATAACAATCTATTACTGCTTCTCAGTTTTTATACTGCCCAAACTCCTACCTGTAAGGCCCAGTTTTCCTAGAACATAAATAATCCGCATGATTGGGGGTCACTGTCAACTAACAATGGGAACCAAGGTCAATGTTGGGACACAATGCCATGGTAAAAACCTTCAATCACATTAGTGGAATAATAACCTGACACTGTTGGGCAACAACTACTCAGGATCACGTTAATGTGTTGTGGCGTCAAAAACGTCTTTGGAATGTCAGTGTACCAAAGAGTTTTTGTTAGTTAGGTTGTGGAAATATACTACATTCTTAACTGAATGGGTAGGAGGCATCCCTCAAATTTGGAAATTATTATCACATTCCGGCACGTCAAAGTTTCGTTTTCAATAATCAAAACTGACCTGTTTAATGAGACTATAAGATTACTGCCAATGTTTATACTACCACCACTATTTCAAACTAGCGTCATCCCACGACATTTACAAACCCGAGCATAAACAATATACTGTACTGTAGATTTGTAACCACAATGCTACGTCAGGAAACCTAGCGCCAAGCACACTGTGGTCAGTATCAGTAAACACAACGGCGATGAGTGCTGTAAACAGTAGCCCAATCGGTAACAAAGTTAACAACTCTTCGACCATCAAGATGCCTTCAACACCTTCGCCAAAATACTACTATGCATAATTCTGAAACCCGATTATCCTATAGAAACTTGTCACACCTTCGGGAAAAATGAAAGCACATGTATAATTTGAACTCTACTTTCATCCATCAGATGCTTGTAACAGTTGGTCAAATTTTCTGCAATGCCTACTTGAGTACTAGTGCAATTTTACAGAGTAGGCAACTGCAAAGACCACCCTAATCACTGGTGTTTATGCTATTATGATTCAGATATAAAGAAATATGCAAGATGCTGCATGGCTATATTGTCAATAAGTAACATGGAGATGCACATGTAGTTGGTTAGCCATCCATTTCATTTGTTTTTAGAAATGCATATTACAAACTTATAAATTTCAGATTTGTTGAAAATTAGAAGCTAGAAGTCAAATCAGATCATTTCTGACCAGTAAATAAACCTGAAAGATCATATTAGCAAAAACATTACAAATCAAGGAACAAAGTTTTGGGAAGGAACTTATGTGGAGCAAGGCAAATCACTGAATATGGAATTCTGAAAAATTGAGGATGTTTTTGCTGATTAACAGCACTTTATAGTTGTAATTATAACAGTATTTTTAAAAAAGAATTTTATTTTAAATAGTACAATACTGTACATCACACTTGTATCCCAAAAGCTTGTCACTTAATTTTTACAATAGTACAAACCAGTTTGCACAACACTGAATACCACTACAAAGAAGGGGTTGTTTCAAATATGTAGAAGAAACTGGCCTTTATTACTGCTGGTGCAACTCTTTTGTTGCTTAATTTATGTTAGTACAAAATACCTTGGCCATGTAAATTAATTAATTTCTTTAAATTTTATTTGATTTTTTTGACTTCATACTGTCCTTACAGTAGCCCTACGATTCAGAATCTGCAAATAAGAGTTCACTAATTCTGTCTTCTGTAATTTGTTTAAGTCTAAAATGCCATGGAAATAACATAATAATGCTATCCACAAGTTGGTAGAAATTGTAAAACAACTTGAACATCTGATGGGAAAAAATACATTTAATAAAGCCAAATGCTTCTACACATTATCAACAAATGTTCCATCCTTCCAGGAAAAAGACTGCCGTATAAATGTGAGATCCACAGGATTGTGAAATTTGAACTCTCAAAAATGCAAGTTATGTGGAAACTGGATGCTAACATACCTCACATTATTGTGAATTTTGCAGCAAGAGTTAAAATTTTACACACTTAGATTTAATATTTTTGTTACTTTTACATATGCCAAAACTTCTCATTAAACTTTTAAGGAAACTGAAGATAGCAGCACTCCTCAAAATCGATGTTCAAAGTGCTACTAGAAAATACAGCAGGTGATCATGTGGAAGTGTGCACAACACATCAGCTGTCAACAATTAGCTGCACAGTGTAACAGACATGTAATAATGAGAAATGGAGGATTCTAACACAGATAAAAGTAAAGAATCTGTCTAAACAGGACCAAATAACTGTCACTCAGTTTCTTAGTACTCAGGTTTATCAACCATCATTGCACAGCACTGCTGTGGTCCAAGACCTTTGTACTGCAATTGAAAGAATGTGTCTCAGCATTCTCATAATTGGTGTCCTGGCTATGTAGTGGTTCCAGCAGCAGTCCTAGGAGTTCTTTGCAGAGAGGATCTATAGTCGGTGGGATGCCTGCCTCAGCAATGCTTATGGGGACTTTTTTAATGGCCTGTACTCCTTCACCCAGAAAAATCCCTAAATGGGCTTTATTTGAACAAGCTTCTTATACCTTGTAACAGGACCAAATCCAGTGTTATCTTTTATGTTATTAATCTTCAATTGTAATAAACAGCACAAAAATTTCACAAATGCTACCATAACACTTTATACACATCATTAATTAGATTACATGTATTCACATTTATATAAAATTAAACATGACTAAAATGAAGCAAAATGTGATGATTTTTACATCCCATTTTTATGGCTACCAGCTACAAAGCAGATTTAGTGCGAAGCATCTAATGCTGACATTAAGAACTCCAGCTTACAATCTTCAGGTATGGAGCCTGAGGTAGAGGCACAACTTTATATTTTACCTTTACTGAATGAATCTTGATTATGAAGCCAGTAAAAATGGGATCTCAGGAACACTTTCATGATTTCTTCAAACAAATCATATGAGAGTAAAAAGAACTGAGACCACAAGTTTTTCATGCATACAAAGATCATTACTGAGGCAGGTCTCCTTGGAAAAAAAATGTTTTGTAGACAAGTTACTACATGTTCAAATGTAAGAGGGCAGCTGTCATCCTCAGTTGCTGTTTGAAGTATGAAAAATTATGGCATAACATCTCTCCTAATATCACAGAATTAAAAAGAGGTTTAAAAATTAAATAAAGACAGAAGTATAATGAACTGTGGAATGTAGGATGTTTAAAGTAATATTCAGGCTAGGGTTGCCAATTCTTAGGAATGATAGCTTACAAAATGTAACATATTATGTTAAATATAAGTCAACAAGCAGTGTCAATATTTATGGTTAAGGTGAAATGATATGAACTGATATGATAGTATAACTTTTGTTTAGAAGCTCTCACAGAGATAAGTACATTATTTGTTCTTATACATTCATATTCTTCTCATGCTTTGTCACTCCTGTAGACTACTGGAACTGTTGACTTACATTTACAGCAAATAAAATACTATTATTGCACTACACCTTTTCTTATAATTTGAACATGGAATATTTCTGTTAAAGGCATGTGTATCTTTTTCATGTTGTCAAAATGCTCACATGAGCTTCTATAAGAGGTAGTCTCATGGCAACCCCAGCCAATGAAACAATTAAATACCCACCATTTATGTACAGTCTGATGTAGAAACCTGAAGGCCGCGAAGTTCATGATTAATTGTCTTAAGCAGTGGATGTATCCCACACCCACATCGGTTGGTGAAATCATCCAAATCAAGAGCCCAGATCATTCCTCCACCAAGATCCATTTCTTTTATGTATTGTGACTATAACAGCAAACACAATGACAATAGCTGTGAATAGAATATCAACTGCAGATCTATGAGCACACTTTATTAGGTATGTACCAGTCAAATCATATGAAGAGTTATAAATATTTAAAGGAAAGATATCACATTTATATAGACTGTACAAAGTAAGTATCTGTTTCTGAAAACTATTAATTTTCAAAATGTTACAATATGCTACAAATTATGTAGAATTTAAACAATATGTTTGAAATGTGATTTATAGCTTAAAATTTTGTTTAAAAACTATTTGAAACACACAACTTTTGTAAAAAGTATGGTACCTTACAAGGAATACTACTATAAATTAAATCCTCTATTATCCTTTTACAGAACTCAATGCCACTTTAAACTGAGAAATATATTGAATTAATGCTTTCAATAACCTTATTTTAAAAATTCACATACAAACATAACTTCCTGCACCAGATCATTCAGTATGACACCAGTGATTACACAAAGCTTCTTTTGAGGTTTGAGGTTCTCATGGCAGTGAAGACGTTGGTCTTCTGACAATAATGCCATGTGAACTTATACTGCAAAATCAATGTTTCACAGAAACATATGAATCTACCAACAAGTTAACAAGGCAGTCATTGCTACCAGAAGACAAACATCAACACAAAACTTCTTCTTTGTGGAACAGCATGTGGTTGGCTACCATCAACAAAGGACAAATGTGATCTGAGGAAGCACTACTGGACATTCTAATTTATTCCAGGCACCTATGTGGCTGTTCATTACAGTGTTGTCACAGCTTGTGCTCCAATATAGTGGTATTCCATATTAGGAGTATATGGCACATTTCTTCTGTAATTTTTAGTACATTCTGACTTTTAACCTTTCTAATTTCATTTTATTACCAATACAACAAATAGAATGGAACCATTAGTCTGGTGATATGCAATCCATGGCCAACTAGACTTCCCAGTATGATCCATGGTTAATTCAATGAATGTGGTGACTCACAGCAATGTATATGTCTCAGAGTTAAAGGTGACTTTATCTGACTCATCCAAACAAATATCTAGTAACTGCCTTCTGGTAATTTTCTATTGAATCACCCATACACTATCTGGTAAAATAATACATTTAATTAGGCCAATAGGATTAGAACAACACATACCTTCCTTCTGATATCAGACACATCATCATAGGATACCCACTGACTGCCCTTATAAGCATATGGGCCAATCCTACCCTCTGGGTCTCGCACTGGTGTATATCCTTGTGATTTCACAGCATGACATATCTATCAGAAAATTATAAAACACAAATCTTTAAAGTAATGTACTGTGATAAGGATGTGCTATGCAGGTTATAAAGATGAAAGTACAGGTAAGATAAAGATGAAGCAACGATGATAAACCTGTGAATCTAACAGACACTGCAAGCCATCAATTAATAAAGGAACTTGGGATGACAGCTTCCAGTAAAGTGAACCCTGTTCCTCATTTTTAAGGAGTTCACACAAATAATTTTGGTAATTTCAGATCTATATTCATAAACTGCATAAGGATCAGGAATTGCTGATATGTTATTCATTACATAGGAAAGAAGTCAAATATGACATGAACAAACAAAGATTTTTACTGAAATTTGTGGTTCTCACAACAGTAAAGATATTGATTGTGGTCTTCAGAGTTGTCGTTTTGTAAGTGGTTACTACTATTTAAAAGCAACTTACTGCCTCCACAACTCAACCCAGAATACCACAATAAAAAAATTGTTTTCAGTTTATACACATATACACACAAATTATAGACTAAACTATTATTAAAAAATTAAAGGGCCCATTTGTACAAGGCACTTACCTCATAATAAGCTAAGAAACCTCCTGCTCTTGTAAATTCCCCAGCCTGCCCTGGGCCATATGTTTTAGCATTCAATCCATTTTCATTGGCATCAGCCAAACTGAATGACTGTCCATACATAGGCAAGCCCATTATAATCTTCTTTCTGTCTGCACCTTTTTGAAGCCAGTAATTGATTGAGAAATTCTGTAAACATATGTGAAAATACAATTCTTGAATTTTGTGCTATATTTATGTATACTGTACACACAAATCACTGAAGTATGCAACTGGAGCAAATGAATTTATGTATGGCCACTTTGCATTTGTATTAATTAAGAATATGTGCCAGTAACAGGGCTTTGAATTAAAACCATCCCTGGATACATTCTCAGATTACCATAAATATTGTTTCTGTTTGTTCATACATCCCTTGCAGACAACATTTCTTTTTTGTCTTGGTATGACTACAGACCATTGCACATGTAGCCACTTCAGGTGATGAATGGAAAGTACCAGCACCAGACTGAATGAAGAGACATATCAAGTGAGAGTTTGGAACATCCTACTTACTGCATTGAAGTAATCATAAGTGTCACCAGGATAATAATACAGCGGTGCCACATGACCTGTCTGCTTGTCCCAGTGACCATGGAAGTCATATGTCATCACTGATATCCAGTCAAAGTACTGTGTTAGTTTGGGCACATCATATCCTAAAAATCACGGATAATTCAGTTTAAGTAATTTTGTACTGGATGATGATAACAATTAACATAAGAGTTTTTATGACACTAATTTCTTATGCCTTTATCATACAACAATAAAGGATTTAAAAAGTTGCTAGATTGTACATATGCTGTAATGTATGGCTTAAAAAGGTCAATTCATTCATAGAACAGTCATATTAAAACAGAGTTTATAAATTTTTGATGTGTTCAGTACTAGTCAGTTGTCTTATATCTGTGCTCATGCCCCTCCACAATCATATAAACAGTCAAAACTGACCTGCCTATGCTTGCTGTCATTTGCATATAATCATGACAAGGATTGAACAAGAAGATATTGTGGTCAATGTTTTCATAAAATATAAGGTATCAGATTTTGTTCCAATTTTCACAGATGTGAAAGTCAATTGCTTGAAAACATGAAGTGGTGGATGTGAGCTGTTTTCTCATATAATGAATTTGACATCTTTCTGCTCAGTTGTACTTATTTATATACTTTAGGAATGTTACTTTAACATGAAGAATATAATTTTTTCTTACCAACATCAATTACTATTTTGCTGGGTGATACTGCAGAAGACAAGAGCAGTCCCTTTGCTTTGAAGGCTGTACTCAGCTCTTGAACTAATGCAGCAAAACCTTCCTTGTCAGAATCTGGGCCTGCATTGCAATCCACCTAGATAGAAGCAGGTAATGGTTTCTTTAAATAACGGCATTATGAAGTTTCAGATTTCTGCTTTACTATAAGTAAAATGTAATGTGATAAATGTGTTACCTATTATTTACTACCTTACACATTTATTGGTTGTTATTTAATTATTTATTAGGTGTTCTTCACACTCTAGCATGAGTGAAGAACACATTATCAGCACATCCATGTCTCTCTGTTGTGCTTTTTGCAATGGGACAACAGGTCTCATTCTGAGAACCTACTGTTGTGCAACAATGAGGTCCAGTTTGAAAATTGTGTGGCAGCAATATAGAGCATTACAAAGGAATATTTTGCAGCCTAGGTACAGACTCACCTGCCAGCATTTGGGATATTCCCAATCAAGATCAAGACCATCAAAGTTATATTTTTCAATAAACTCAATAACAGTCCTTACGAAGTTTACTCTCAATGATGGACTGTTTACCAGGCGGCTGTATTTGTCTCCCAGAGAATCATTCCAGCCTCCAATTGCAATTAGCACCTTTATACCTCGTGACCTGAGTTCTGTCACCTTGTGGTAGAAGTCTGCAAGAAATAACAATCCATGTTCCAAGCATGATTCAAACCTGTGACCAATGCACGTGCCAGATATAAAAAGCCATGTACGCCCTGAATTGAATGTCAGGGGTTAAGAGACATCAGGATTAGCTTAAATATGGATATTACTTTAATTAACTTTTATCAGCCCAATGTACACTGGTAGGAACGTAAACTCTATCTATCACTTAACAAATTTTTGTTCTGTGTGGCAGCATGCTGTATTGGGCTTAATATTCATATATTCCTGGTAAGAACTTATTGTTATTAGACAAACAAATGCTATCTTGAATAATTTTATGTGTCTGTTGAAATTGTAAATTCTGTAGTGCATTTTAGTGCATATACTAATGAAATGAATACCACATGGTTAAATGTCAGTCTTCTAGGTTGTAATGCTATGTGGACTTATAGGTAGTTATCAGACCTGAAAATTGAGGCAGTATGTTCCTCCAAAACATTGGTATTGCAACCCAGAACACCAATACTGAATTGAAAAACAGACAATAAATAATGGATGATACATTTAGAAAGTATGAACTATGAAAACATTCAATAAGAATTGAAAGAAGTTTTGAAGTCAACAGATCTGTAAGCTTGTACAGTGTGTGGCACAGGTTGAAGCTGATAATGAACTCACTATTGTCTATATCTGCCCAGGAGTCATGAGACTTGATAGTGAGAGTGCCCCCATCCATCACAGCAAAACCATATGTTATGTGTGTACACAGTGACCAGTCAATGTCTTCTGGGACATACCTTCCAATACCTTGCCTGCAAGAAAAAGGTCCATTTAGAATGGCTATGAAAAGCAGTTGCCAGTTTGGATGTGTACTAGACAGAGCTGCCTTGCTTCATATTTACAGACATTAAAAAGCTAGCAGTAAATGGACTGCTTATATTGATCACAGATTAACTTAATTTCTGACCTGTAAAATGCCCAGTTGGTAAAGTAGCAAACAACTTTGTATCCTGTGTCAGTTGGTTTGGGAGGCATTGTAACATCAGTACCAGGGGTGCTTGGTTTAACTGTAGTTGTAGGCTTAGTAGATGTAGAGGTTGGTGGATCTGTTGGCGGAGTGGTTGATGGTTCACTCCCAGCACTTTCAATTTCTCCTGAGTTGCATTTTGTATTCTCTGCCCAGTCACAGTGATCCTATAGATGTTTAGTATAATGCAAAATATAAGTCATCAGTTCAGAATTCTGACAGTGATTTTATATGTATTATTAAATTTTTATTAGATTATTATCAATGTAAAAATATGAACTGTGTTTATAAAATAGGGCATTCATCTTTCTAAAATGAAAATACTGTACTGGCACTAGACTGAAATGTTTTCAACTTTTTTTATAACTGCTTTTGTCTTGAGTTTTTAAGATGGCTTGGAAAATATTTATATGTATTGTATGTTGATTAATCTCCAGCAAAAGGGCACACACACACACACACACACATTTTTTTAAATAGTCACAGCTAGTTAGAAAAGCATTTAATTAAATACTTTTTCATAAGCATCTTATTTAATTTTACTCAGTATATTTCTGCTGAATGGTTAACATCCCTGATTCATATTTGGGTTAAATTTTTAGTCTTTAAGCCAACTACAATGAGGTCTTTTGTTGTTTTCTTTAATTACTACAGGTAAAGAGTACCCAAAATACACAATGACTGCTTCTTTCCGTTTGTACCTCTCTTCAGCTTATAAAGTTTCATTTACTAAACAAACAAAATGTTTTAGTTTTGCATCTTCTTCCAGTGCAGCCCAAATCTCCTCTCTTAGTACACCAACTGGCTGCAGCTTGCCAGTCAAAAAACAATGTGATATTATGATATTATATTCTTGAAGACATGGTTTTTGAGCACATTCTGCAACTGTGTGTAAGCAGGAGAATGCAGATTTTCTTCTTTGGTTTTCCACTATTCATGTATTTTTCTTATGCAATGCATTATCCCATATTTTGCATTGAAGAAGCAGAGTGGATTTATTAATGGTACATAGCTCACCCTTTTAAATAACAGTCACAATACAGTCAGTGTTAACTGATCCTAACAAACCTTTAGTCTATCACTCTATTACAGTAACTAAAACAGTTTATTTTAAATTATATTTGGGTTCACCTTGTTCCAGGAGAGTCCAGCAGGACATGTTTGTTCTGTAAGCATTCCAAACTGACACAGGTAATACTTGTGACAATCACTTGCATGCGGAGCAAAGATCTTTCCTCCACAGGTTGGATCTTTCATTGCTCCATCCGAGATAACTGGCTGGCTTGGGTACTGCACACGATTTTCAGATGCTATAAAATGACAAAAAGACAATATTATTAAAGACGTAGTATCATAAATAAGATTTCATATAAAAACCATTGAAATACTAATATCTGGTTTTAAATCTAATTTGAATCCCAACAGAGAAGTAAGTCTTAATCTAATAAAGCCAATGCAGTGTCATAGAAACACAAATTAAAAAATTTTGTACTGAATGTCATCATGCCTCCAGCTTTGTATTGAAAATGTTTCTGATTTATGTCTCACCAAGGTGACTAACTATCCTAACTCATATGTTAATGATTCTCATCAATCTTTCAAGGCAAATTCTGGACCAGTACCTTGTTATAATCTTGTAATTTTTTCTTTGGTGCTATATGACCTCACTGGTTAACACACTATCATTATTAAAATTATAACTTCATATTCCAATGCACCTAACTAATTTATCTTATTTGTGACAAGCTAGTAGGTCATACTTACAACAAACAAACAACTTATAATAAAAGCCATATTACAAGGTTGTAAGAGATGTCTAATAAATAACTATTCCAAATCAACTTTATACCATCCACAAAATAAAGTCTTCAGCTGAACTCATACTTTATATAACAATGGAATCTTCCTCTACATCACAGATATGGATGTCACAATAACAGGCATACTTTCGTTTCCTAATAAAATATGGACAATTCCCCTCTTGTTGACACTGAGACAGTCATATATGTACAAGGATATCTATTAGAATTCTGCTGATGATTTAAATCTCTTGTTTGTGAACAAAATGAGGGCCCTAAAGAAAAAGGAAAATACTGAAAATGGATACTAGTGCCACTTCTCATTTATAAGTGCAGTTGAAAATGTGGCATTCAATTTCTGTCATCAGATAGTATGTCCTTCCAGAAATTAAATCAGGGGATCAGCAGTAAGTAAGTACTTCTGAAACATCTCATAACCAAGGTATAGTCATCTAGACTTCCATGTGACTTCAGGGTACAAATTAAAATACAGTGCAGTGCAGTGTGATAGTTTCCTTCCATTTAAGGCAAAGAAATAGAGCATTTTAATTTTAAGATTAAAAAGAACATTATCACATGAACATATCCTATTTATGAGCAAATGTTATTCTCTTCAGAGAAGTCTCTGTATTTATCATATATTTCTGAACTGTTAAATAATATTGCTCATGATTTAAGTTAAGACAGCTAATATTACTGTTTGAATCATAGATAAACCATTAAAAGTTACAGCCTTATGTATGCAACAAATCATTAGTATCAGTAAAATATAAGATCAAAATGATACTTACTGTCTTCTTTGTGATTGTCAGCAGTGATATCACACTTAGGTCCTGGACCTGGGTAACTTCTGAGGACTCGATTGATGGTGCGGAGCAATGGATAGGATTCACATGAGCAAGTATTTCGAAAATCATCAAGATCGAGGGCCCAGATCATACCACCACCCAAGCCCATGTGGCGAATAAAGTTGGATTTGTATCGAATCATGCCTGCATCATCAAATGAGACCCACTGATCTCTTGAGTACGCATATGGCCCCATTCGACCCTCTGGGTCTTTTACCACCTTCCAACCTCTCTTCTGAATATTCATACAGATCTAGAGAAACATTAACAACAGAAAGCATTCTAAGTTGTATTTTCTGAAATAACAGTTGCACCTGCAATTTCAGGAATTCATATTAATGCTTCTACTGTGTATGAATCAAACTGACAACATATGTGGAACCAACTAATGTAATGGGCAGTCTTTGTCTGTAAATAACTTGTCATGCTAGGCAAATTAATCGGTTACATACTTTATTAGTCTCTCACTTTATGATTTTTATATGAACATTATCATACTTAGATGAAATGTTAACTGATTTTTCGAAGATGATGGAGGCAGCAAGAACCTCTGAAATGTCGGCAAACTTCTACCAGACTACACGGTGTGACAATCCAGAAGACAGCCATCTTCACACTCACAATCGTAAAAACCTCAAATCCTATATAACTGATTTTTACTAATTCAAAATTACAAGAATTTAAAGAACTTATAAAATTCCAAATATAGTACTCAAAAGGTTAAAAAGAACATATTAAATGGAAAGAGTCAGTGTGGAAATGTATATTCACATGTTATTTATAATTAAAAATTTCAGTTTCTTATAAATGTAATTAACTTTTACTCAGATTCAGAACACTGTTTATTTAAATTAACTTACTTCATAGTAAGACAGAAATCCTCTAGCCCGAGTGGAGTCTCCAGCCTCTCCACCTCCATATGTTGGTGCATTGAGACCACGGTTGTTGTTATCTGCCAGACTGAATGACTGTCCATACATGGGCATGCCCATCACAATCTTCTTACGGTCTGCTCCTTGTTCAATCCAATAATTGATTGAGAAGTTCTAGACAATTACAAACAAAGTTAATATTTTACCAACTGGTGTGAATTCACAACTTGAATAAAATCTTGCATTTATAGCTGTAACTTCCTGCATCTGAGAATCTTAGTTTTGTATTCCATATGTTGTTATCATAAGAGTTAAATTTAAACAGTTTCTGTAAAGTTTCTTTGAAACACATTTTAGTCATGAAACTCTGTTGATAAGTAATGTATTTAAAATTCCACACTGGCTACATCTTCTTTGCAAAATTGTTATGAAGAAAGGACACTTTTTAAACTTAAATTTATTCTCCTTGTGTTACTTGTATCCATTCATCACAAGAATATTTTACATTCACGCTACAGGTGTCTCAGCTTAATAAAGGGAAGAGAACTGCTAGAAACTGTCCTATATGGACCAACATTGAATTCTGCAGAACTGTTTAATAAAAATCTTTAGTATCAAATTTAAAGCAAAATATAGTTTAACGTTGGTTTGTGCACGTGGGAACACAAATAAACATGATAACCTCAATAACTAAAACTTTTAAAACATTTCTCACAAAAAATGAGAACTACATTCAGTACATTGAAAAGAAAGGGGTAATTCAAAAGTAAATTCTCACATAAATGTGCAACGAAAAATATCACTGATAAAATAAATGAAGTAAAACATCTAGTAATGAAGTTATGGAGGGAGTACATTCTTTCACCTTCTTGAATTAAGTTAAATAGTTAAGTGATCAAAATAAATAAAGTGTCTGGTACTAGAAAAATGATGACTTACAGCATTAAAAGTGACATCTACATCATCAGGATGTGTGTACATGGGAGCCACATGACCTGTAATCTTGTCCCATTGTCCATGGTAATCATATGCCATAACTGCAATCCAGTCCAGGTTCTCTGACAGAGTGGGTACATCATAACCTAAAAAAATATTTATAATTTACTTATTTACTAAAATTAAGCATAATGTGAAAGCCAGTAATAAAAGAAAGAGACAAAACATTACATATTAGGTGAGAAATAGGATTTGACCTTTACTGTAAAGATAGGGGATTTAAATCCTCATACTATGGAGTTGCCAACTAGATTTTAACTGAGGTGTGGGGTACAAGTATGCTATTACAACACAAAGCCAGCTAAATAGTGTGTAAAACATAATACACAGCCAATGAAAGTTAATTAACATAATATATATTTTAACTTTTTTCTGAGAAGACATGGCACACATGTATAGTGTTAATATTAGCTGACAGTTTAAAAGTCTATTAGCCTGAACAATAAACTGAGGCAGTATACATATGGCACACACCTGCATCAATGACAACTTTGCTTGGTGATACAGCTGATGTCAGTAGATATCCTTTAGGCTTAAAAGCAGCCCTTAATTCCCTTACAAATGTTGCAAATGCTGCTTTGTCAGAGTCTGGACCCTTCTTACAATCCACCTAAAATAAAGATGGATGCCATTCAAATAAAAAATACTGAGATATTAAATTCCTCATAGCTACATTCCATTTGTATGTTATTGATTTTTTAAACTTTTATACCATTTAAAAACCAGAGGGAGGCAAATAATATAATTATTTTAAAAATATTACCTTCAAATGAAAAAAACATAAAACCAGGCAGGAAATTAAAGCATTGTGTAACAGTTCTGGAAAAATTGCCAGAATATGACCTTTCACCTTTGTGAATGGCTGGGAAATTCCCTGGATGGAGATTCCCCATGTAGGAATTCTCCACCCAGTCACTTCTATGTACTGAAATGTACATAAATTTAATGTGAAGAGCTCATTATTGTTGTCCGATTTCAACCAAAATTGGAATGTGAATGGAAACTATTCAATATCACATTGTCTAAACATATTCTTTGTGTTTCTTGAGTTGTTACATGCAGACAGATGGATAAACAGACAGACAGACAGAAATTGTGAAGCTAACATTGCATTTTTGCAATGAGGTTATCCAGTAATTTCTTCACTGTTGCTTGTTATGAGTGAATGCTTCAATAATAAACACAGAGAATAATGTCTATCATATTACTTGAAACAAATCAATACACACCTGCCAGCATTTAGGGTATTCCCAATCCAAATCTAAGCCATCAAAATTATGTTTCTCTATGAAGCCAGTGACATAGCTGATAAAGCGTGCTCTTGCTGCAGGGTTGTTTACTAGACGACTGTATTTGTCTCCGGCAGAATCATTCCAGCCCCCAATAGCCACCAGCACTTTCAGGCCCTTGGCTTTATATGCTGCCACCTTCTCATAAAACTCTGTAAAAATAGATGTATGTATCTGTAATCAAGTACTTTAAAAGGTAGTGAGATGATCTGTCCCTGATCTATCAGTGATATGAAATTATATGGAAATTCTAAAGAGCAATTGCATAAAAATACCAACACTGTTGTAATGGAGTTATGAACAGTGAAAATATATATCACTATTTTCAACAGGGGAAAACTTGCTGTTAATGACCATGTAACTGATGACTTGGTTGAACAACAGTTATAGTATGTGGTACTTATCAGTGTTCAAGATTAAATGATATACCAAACCAACTGACTCAGTGGTTCACTTGTCTAATCAACACATCTGTCAGCTAACATCCCAGCCTGGAAGTCAATTTTTTACTGTAGACAAAATGGATATGCTAGTCATGTGAAGTCTAAATTATTGGATTAAGAATGACAGCTAATTACTGAAAATACATACTGTTATCCAGGTCTGCCCAACTGTCATGTGGCTTGATGATCAGTTGATCACCATTTAGAACCGCAAATCCATAAACAATATGCGTGCACAGGTCAGCATCTATGTCACTAGGCAGGTATTTACCTACACCTTGCCTGTAAGAACAAATTAAACAAATGGTCCATTTTTAATAGCATTATAGATGTAGGTCAAAGTTAATTATTGTAACACAATATTTCACTATACCTGGTGAGACTCTTAGGTCACAGTATGGTATTTTGATGGCTAGATGGTGTAAAATAATGTAAAACTACCATTAAGGAAACTACAGAATTCTGTAATATCATATTTTATTTAAAAAAGTCCACAGAAAGAGGAATATTCCGCTGTTCTGTTTACCTGTACCAGGCCCAGTTTGTGAAGTAGCATACAACTTTAAAGTCACCACCAAGGGGAGAGGTACCACCCACAGTAGTTGGTCTAACTGTTGACTGTGTCACTGTTGCAGTTGAAGTCAAGTCAATTTCTGATGAACCGCCTAATAATGGTGTAACAGTACTGACTTGCTGCTGGCTCTCAGTTGAAAATGATGTTGTTGGTAGTTTGGATGGCTTTGGTTCTGTTTGAAGGAAGAAAATGTTTTCCCTGGATTAGACTTACAGACAGGAAATATTTATTCCCACAAAACAAGATCATTTTATTTTAATGAGGAAAAGAACACTACTGAATAATAAAAGCATAACAGTGATCATAAGTAAGCATTTAACATGGAGTATGATGCAATTCTGAAACTCTGTATCACAGCTGAGTAACTTTACAAGCACTTAAAATGAAATATTCAGAAGAAAAAGTGTATGAGTATAAAAATAATTTGTTTCAACATGTCCAATAAACAGAAAACTATGCTTCCAAAACAACATAAACTATTATCAAATAAGATAAACATGACATGGATGTCCATTTAAGTAAAATATAACTGCATGATTTGAACTCTGAGGTAACCCTTAATAGTCGTTGTGATGGTATGTGATGATAATCTGATCAAGTTTCATATTAAGCTTAAGGATTTGTATTAATTTATTTATGATTTATTTAATGGTCCTCTCAGTAACATAGGTTATATATCATAAAATAATAGATTGATTAATAAATAATGAATTGAAAATTATATGGAAGGAAGCAAATATGGCTAATTTTAAGGTACTATCCTATCATTTGCCTGGATGAAATGAGAAAAATAATGAAAAACCTCAGTCAGAATAATTCATCTCTGGACAGATTTTTGAATCTGGGACCTCCTAAATATGAATTAAAAATAGTAACCATTTGACTGTGACATTTAGTTTAAGCTAAAATAAATTTCAATGTACAAGCACCAATTGGTGCAATATTACAATACAGCTCATCCTAAGACATGGGAGTGTTGTTCACTCACACGCTTTAAAATCACAGGACTAATAAAAAGTTAGATAGATGGATTTTATCACCTATCATAATTAACTCTTACGATATTTTGAAGGTTATGAATCAGCAATCATAAGAATTTCTAATGAAAGAAAACAACATTAAAAAATGTTAAAATCTGTAACTGACATACTCACGTTCAAAGCCTTCAACTGTCTCTCCTCTGGGTGGGTCAGCTAGAACTTCTCTTATTGTATTGAGCAGAGGATGAACTCCTTCACCACAGCGATTACGAAAATCATCTAAATCCAGAGCCCACACCATACCTCCTCCAAGACCCATTTTGCGGATGTACTCAGACTGTAGCATAACATTAGAATAAACATGTTATACTTCAGGCAGAAACAACTGACAGGTTAAACAAGATTGTAAAAGTATACAGTGTAAACTTAACAGGAGAATTCATCAGAAGGAATTACAAATGATATACTGTCATTCATTCTCTTAAAATTACAATTAAGATAAGAAGTAAAAAATAAATAAATAAGTAAATAATGTTACAGTTTCACTGTACACTGTTATTACATATACTGCAAGTAAATTAAATACGTATAACTTTCATCATTTCGCAACAGTTTTCAATATTCACTTATATGACACTTGTAATATTTACACAAAACTTTCAGAGGGAAACAAATGCAAAGAATCAATTAACAACAACAACAATAATAATGTACAAAGTTCATACATTATGTAATGTTAATTACTGAATATATTTCAGTAGCTTAATACATTATGTTTGCTGATGTTGCAGACAAGTTAATACTAATGAAGATAGAAATTCTGAATTTCTTCATTCTGTAAGTGACACAGAGATTCTAGACCTATGTTTTAAAAATGAATCATCACTCTGTCCCTGTCCAAACAATTTAATGACAGTAATCTTGCTGTCTGCTCTCACCTTAAGCCGAATAGTTGCAGCATCATCATAACTGACCCACTGATTGCCATGGAATGCATATGGCCCCATTCGCCTCTCAGAGTCTTGTATGACTGTCCAACCATGATTCTTTACTCGATCACAGATCTTTAAGAAACAAGATTTTTTTTACACATCATAAACCAGTAACTCTAGTGAAAATACATCTCCTCTAAATTATTCATAGGTAAATTTTACTTGTATAAGAAATGTTATTAATTAGTATATTATATTGAAGTAAATCTAGATCACATTTAGGTGAAGAAACACTTTGCAACTGTATAAGAAAATGAATCTGTAAGAAGGAAATAAAATAAAGATGTGTGGTGAAATCAGAATACTTAAAGCATTATGCCCTTTTCCTTATCTACAGCGAGAAAAAACAGTTTTTTAGGTGATGTTATCTAAATGAAAGAACTGCACATGCATTATGAAAGACTGGAATGAAAAAGAATGAGAGTTGGTTAGAACCATTTTCTGCACAATACACAAGTTCTGTCTAGATAATATGAGGCTGTAGACATATAATATAAATGAACATTCTTAATGGATTCTTTAATTGATGACACTGGAATAGTAATAGCTGAGATTATTTTTCACAGAAATAACACCCACATCTGAGATTTACCAATGTATAGCCAGATCATTAACAAGACTCAAAACTATACTTCAAGGATGACAAGTGATAGTGATAAATCTGAAATATAATGAACTTTTCAAGATATACAGGCATTTAAGATGCATGATACATCATACAGACCAACCCCTGCAATGCTGTGGAATTAAACTCCATCTTGATGATAAAAGATTGATAATTTATTAACCCATTAAAATCAAAACACTTACTTAATTTCAGCAACAAAAAAGAATTGTCAGGTATGGAAAACTAATAAAGTACCAGCATTGCTTCTAAGCAGCTACATCCATACCTCATAGTAAGCAAGAAATCCTGCGGCACGAGTAAACTCCCCGGCCTGTCCTGGTCCTGGTGCACGAGCATTTAGCCCATTTGTGGAAGGTTCAGCTAACTGGAATGACTGCCCATACAAGGGCATTCCCATCACAATTTTTCGACGTGGGACTCCTTCAGAGATCCAGTAGTTGATGGAGTAGTTCTGAAAGAGAAAGTATATTTTTTTATCTTCAACATCACCTGGCTTTAAAATCAAATTATTTACAAGATAATTTAATAGATTAAGCAGATATACCACATAGGCATAAACAGGGGTTATAGAAGAGGGATAATTTGTAAATGTACTACAAAATTCAAACTCAAACTAATGTGGCAGTGTTTACATTAACCTAATTAATAGTGGATTATAAGACATTGAGCAGTTCATGAACCTTAAATGCACCCACTGTACCATTCATATAGATAAAAGACTATTGATAGACCATACATCATATAAAGAGATTAGTTACTGATAATGATTTTAGAGGAAATAAGAGAACCTTGCAATGAGAGTTAGGGGAGATGAATACTGAAACTTTATTCAGTACAAATCATACACAGACTGTCAAATATTGTACAAGCTGGTTGCAGGCTCATTATCAGCCACAATGTCAGCTTGTCACATGACCTTTACACTTCTGCACATGATTCATTACATTATATAAATGCTGTTAGGCTCAGTCACGTTTGTGGGTGTTTTTGTGACAACAATTTTACTGCCCCCAATAGTAGAAAATTATGATATTTAAACTGTACACATTTCTGAAATAATGATTAGTTTTCCTCACAACTACTTAAGAAAAAATATTTTGATATTTATTTTATGTGATATTAATATTTAAAATATACATCACATCTTTGTTTATATCATGAGAACATCTGTTGATCACTAGATTGCAAAAATGCATAACTATGATCAAAAATAAAACCAAACAACAGTTACAAAATGAGAACACTTTCCTTCTTCAATAACGTGCTTATCACATAATACATCATGTGTTAAAACTATCTCTGACATACATTAATTCTTCAGGACTTGGAAATTATGCTTCAGAAAATAAAAATAAAATTCAAACACTTTGTGACTGAGTGAAAAAAGTTTTCACCATTTTTATATGTGTATGAGCCATTATAGAATTAATATTTTGTGTTTAGTGCTCAAAAACATGTTTAAAACCACTGGTTTTGTTTGTGGATTTGGTCTCACACTTTTAATATTTATTTGAGTACGACTATGCATAAACATTTCAGTTAATTTGGGTTACGAGTTTTTTATGAGCAAAGATTTGGTACTGGTAGAAAAATCTCAGTGTGTATGAGAATGAATGTGATCTATTATAAACAAAGAATAATTCATGGAAGTCATGCTTTTTATCACATGGCTTTTAGAACCATAATTCATTGCAAATGTTTATAATAGCTACAGTTGAATAACTGAAAGTTGGCTGCAAATTATTATTCAGTGTGTTCTTCCAAATAATTTCCAAAATGATTAACACCCATGTTTAAACACATACACATGAAGACCAGTTAAGGGTGAAATGAGAATAACTCACTGCATTGAAGAAGAAGAAATCATCATCAGAGTGGAAGTACAATGGTGCTACATGACCAGTCTTCTTATCCCACTGACCATGGAAGTCATAGGTCATAACTGCAACCCAATCCAGGTTCTCACCAAGAGCCTTTACATCATAACCTGGGAAACAATTATAATGAGAAGTGCTACCACTACAGAACTTCTGTTTAATTTTAAGAGAGTTAAATACAACAGAAAATTAACATTCATTTCTGTTAATGTGGATAAATTCATGAATAATAAACTTGTACAAATGATGGGAAAATATACAGCAGATTGATATATAACAATGACTGATTGTGCTGAAAATGTCTACTGTGCACACATGATGTTTGTTGTGGCTCTTTCTTGCACATTTGTCAGCCCATTTGTCCTATTCACTTTTCATTTAGGTGAGAAAACAATGCATCAGTGCTTATTAACTTCACCAAGTATATTCCCTGTCCCATACAGCCCAGTACCTTCACCAGCAGGTACAGAGACAGGTAATAAACAAAGATTACGGAATACTAACCTGCATCAATAACAGTTTTGCTGGGAGAAACAGCAGATGATAATAACAGGCCCTTGGGGTTAAAAGCTTGCCTTAGTTCTTGAATCAATGCAGCAAATGCAGCCTTGTCTGAATCAGGGCCCTTGTTACAGTCCACCTATTAAATTAATAAAAAACGTACAATTCGTAAATCCTAATTTTTCATAATATTACACAGTTTAATCCTGTCCACAATTTATATTGAGATCATATTTATTTACAAAATGGCACCTAAAAGTGTTTCTCACACAAAAATAGATTATTCAATAGCAGGGCTCTGCCAACAGACATTTCACTCAAAATATACTTTAAATTGTTGAGTGAATTTAAGAAATGTTCTATAAGTGTTTAGTGTTAGAGTATTTAGTGAAACAAAATTAATGATATGCATAACAACTGGATGTTAGTTCACACAGCATAAGAACATATATTTGCCATTAACAGGTTGAAAAAGAAATTCCCATGACTTTACCTACTTTAATTATAATGTTCAGTCAAGAAAAAGGACATGTTTTGTACTATGAATATTCATATATTTATTTAAAAAATATTTTCTAAATGTGTTATTTGAGTTATCCTAGTCTGTGTTCTTTTTCCATAGAAGCATTTTAGTAATTACTATGTTATTCCCACAACTGCATCTTTAACCTGTCAGTGACAGCCTCCATATATGGTACAGATTTCAGTTTGTCACATGATGCCTGTCTCCACACTTGGTATAAACCAGGTATGAGGGGTTTAAACCTCCTATATCCACAGGCTAGGACACATTTGAATAGAATCACTGAAGGTTTAATTATAACACCCAGATAACTTAAAGCCCTGGCACAGCAAATTTAAGAAGCCTTCATAAGTATTTTCAGGCTCAGACTTCAGTGTCAAACAATTTGGGACAAATGAGTACACGTCTCACTTCAGTTAGCTTCCAACAACAATATTCAAATCTGACAACATGGCAGAACTGACAGCTCAGAATTTGTTGTTGTGAACATTTAACATGGCTGAAGAGATATATGAGTACATATTCTTCACACATGCACTCACCTGCCAACACTTCGGATACTCCCAGTCAAGATCAAGTCCATCAAAGCCATGCTTCTCTAGGAACTCAATAACATGTTTGACAAATCTTCGGCGTGCAGATGGGCTGTTAACCAGACGACTGTACTTGTCACCTGCAGAGTCATTCCATCCTCCAAGAGCAAGTGATACTTTCAGTCCCTTCTTCTTATACTCCACCACTCGTTCATAGAACTCTGAATACCACAGCAATAATTCCTTAGATTACTATTTTGAATAGTCAACTTAAAGTTTAAGTTGCTACTATATATTGCTACGACACTGTCCTAATACTAAATAAATCCATAGAACAGTCCTATTTGGGAAACTAATAGCCACTCAGACAGTCAAGAAATTATCCACCTTTCATGGAACCTACAACTTCACTATAATATTCATAAGAATAAACCACTGGACCTTATACTGAACTAGTTCAATCAAGCCCACATACTCTCATAACATTTATTTAAGATCCATTTTAATGTTACCTCCCATGTAGGCCTAGGTTTCCCAAGGGGTCTCCTCCCTTCAGCTTTCCAAACTAAAATTTTGTATGCATTTCTTATTTCTTCCATGCATGCCACATATACTGCCCATCTTATACTCCTTCCTACAGTTATAAACACCAAACATGAGGCAAATATGCTAAGGATAAAAAAAGAACCAAAATTACATTTTGGTGTTGTCAAGAACTATTTTAATCATAATACTTACTCTAAAATATGTGCATGAAAAAGTAAAATTAGTAACATTTTTACATTTACACTTACTGTTATCATAATCAGCCCATGAATCATGAGCTTTCACAATCAGGTTTTCATAATCCAGCACTGCAAAACCATATACAATGTGGGTGCAGAGTCGTTCATCTATTGTCTCAGGAAGATACCTTCCTATTCCTTGACGATACCAGGCCCAGTTTGTGAAGTAGCATACTACCTTAAAATAGCCTGCAATAGGAACATAACCTGTTGAAGTTTTACCAATGCCAGTAAAAGCATCATCAGTTGAAAATTTGTGATTCTGCTTAATCTTTCCCATTGCATACGAAGTCCCCCTAAAACCTGTGGAACTAACTGCTTGTTTCTCTTCATACAGCTTTATTGTCATATCAATTTAGAAATAACCCAACTATGAATTTATGAACATTTCTGTTATTCACCAACACATGATATCCCACAAACTGGTTGTATAAGTAAGATGAATACATAATTACCAGATAATGTACCACCTTGTGGAGGTCTTGTGGTCTCCACTGTAGGAAGACTAGGAGTGGAACTTATCACTTCACCACTACTAGACAGTGTGCTCTGAGCTGACCATGTAGGTGGAAGTGTTGGTTTTGTTGGTGGAGAACTTGGTCTCACAGTTGGTAAATCATCTGGTTTTAAACCACCATCTCCAGATTTGCAATGGGTATTCTGAGGCCAGTCACAGATACGTGCAGCCTTAAACAAACCAGAAATAAAACATACATTACATAACATAAACATATGCAGAGATATTACCTAAAGGATTCCTGATAAGAAAAAGAATATCAACAGCTGCTATTAGATAAACAAAACTTCAGGGCAGACAAAGTCTCAGCTATCTAAAGTACTCTGTGCTACCAATACAAAACAAATTTTAAGGCCCTTGAATGTACTTCATATATGGACCACACTGAACAGCCAATATTTTCCAAATACACATATGTAGTCACCTGAATATCCATGCTATGACCATAAATACACACTTACCTCTGTCCAGTATTCTGATGAATACAGATAAAACTGGTTAATAAAATAATTATTTCAACACTGTGGTCTTCAGGCACATTTACAATCCTCATATTCAGTTCACAGAGATAGCTTGGCCTACACTATTTTCAACATAACTGGGTCCTATCACAAACACGAGACTGATATTAATAAATACTGATTAGCCGCAGCAATAAATAAAAACTAACACCTATAAATATCTGTAGCAGTGTGCTAGCTGTTACAATTTTTGTGGTTTTATATCCTTTTATGTAATCTTACTTACATTATTCCAATGCAGTCCTGACCCACAGGAGAACTCTTGGTATGTGCCCCATATGCAGACAAGATACTTAGTACAGTCACGGGCTGAACTAAACTCTCCGTCATTACAAGAACTGCCTTTTTTAATCTTCAGAAACTCTGTATCACAAGAAAATCAAAGTGTTTTATTGATGTTATCATAACTGTCAGATGGTTTAAAAAATATCAAAACTTTAAAACACTTCTGCTGGAAACAGTGATTCTGACTTTATTCTTTTAAATTTGGACTTATAAAAAAAAGACAGATATAGCGTATTAAGTTAAAAATGCTTCCATACAGCAGAAACCTCAGGAGTAAAACTCATACTGTACTGGCAGAGTATCTGATATAGGACTTACGTGGATATTCATATGAGAGTGACAAGGAATTTGCACATTGTACATTAAAGGTCCAGTCACACATTGTCTGTGCTTGGTTCCACACTAGGCCTGGAGCACATGTCTGCTTTAATGGAATGCCATTAACACAAATGTAGAAAGTTGTGCAGGATACAGGATCTGGGTAATACTGACCACTAGAACATCCCTCAGCTACTACTGCAACCTGTAAGCAATTGATGTACTTCAAATCACTGAAGGACATTTATCTTTCAAGTGTTTTGTATATATTTTCATTTATTCTGCAATCCTACTCTAAGGGTTGTGGCTTATGCCTTCAGACATGCTCTCAGACCAACTGGCTAGGTCAAACAGTTTTGATTGGAGCATCCAGCTTGTAAAATTTTCAATTTCCTCTTCAAGAGGTGGCTGGCATGGAGGGCTTGCAGCTTAACATGGGTACAGTATTCTTCACATGACAGAGTTTTGATTCTATCAAAGGTGAAAAAAGAGGAAGGCATGCAGAAAAATAAAATATTCTCTAGATTCAGCTGGTCTTAAACCTGGGATCTTCTGGTTGCCTTTCTCCTAGACACCCAAATTTAGTTGCATCTATAATTTAGCATCCAATTCTTTTGCTGGTAGGTGGAGCGATGGCTAAGCTAACATGATAAATTGAACAATTAATTACTGATTTTAAATGAAAATGTTTAGAGTTCAGTTTCCTGCATATAAATATGTGTGTTAACAATAATCCACTTAATGGAGGATCTTATTTGTGTTTAGAAAACAGTATGAATCATGTGGAAAGAGCCACAGACCAAGGACTGTAACTACTAATTTATAATCACAAAATACTAAAGGTTTTTTGGAAAGAAATGCATTTATACAGCATTAAATAGTTTCAATACATAAACTGTAAACATAAATGGTTGACATATAGACATACATACTTCTATTAATATTAATAATTTTAAGTATTATAATTCTTCATTGAATATTTACTTACACTTTACAAAATTTCAAACTTATTTTCCATTTCAACTAAGCCAAAAATATGATGCAAATACCTCTGTACTTGGTTCAATTGTAGTGGCTGGTTTCTTGGATGGTGTCCACCACCCATCTGGTCTATGTGTTGTTGTTGTTGTTGTACTTGTGCTTGTGCTTGTCCACCAGTGGTCCCATCCTGCTGTACTTGTTGACTGTACTGTAGTCCACCATGGAGAAGTTTTTGTAGTTGAAAATGTTGTAGATTCTGCAGCAGTGTAAAATCAGTTAATGGAAAATTAGCATATTTTCCTTCCTCTAATTCACTTTTTCATTTCAGTGTTACAATGATAGACATGTTACACAAGTGTAATCATTGTGTTCTATTCAGAGAAATTCCATATTTATGATCTTTGGGCAAGCATTATCAATTTGTTTCACATTTCAAGATAAATTGATATTTCTATGAATTGAAAATCTTTCATTGCTATTAAAATTTAATGGCTAGAGAGACAGGTAAGACAATAGGAAGTACAGCAGTAAATATATATTCTTGATTATAAAGTTTTCTTACTTTAAATCAATTACACTGGGCATAAATATGATAGTTCTCAATTTTGGAAATCTCTGGCCAGAGCTACACAACTCCAGGTTTAAAATCCCTTACCTACAATGGAAAGAATGCAGCACCAGTACCTAACACAAATTGAGAAATCATTATTTCTTTAGTATATATACATAAAAAGTGGACACGCTTCATTTACAATATGCCTATAATGCCTATATTCCAATTTAGAAGTAAATTTTATGGTTGAACTCCTATGTAAAGTCTGCATAAGCTACTCACGTTTTTCACATTTGGCTTCATTTGGCCAATCACAGACTTTGCTCTGAGTATTCCAGTGCAACCCACCAGCACAGTATTCTTTTCTCAACTCTCCCAGAATGCAGCGGTAGTATGCATTACAGTTTGAAGGATCAGGAAGATATTCTCCTGCATTGCAAGGTGTTCCTGGCAGAGGAGCATCAGGTGCAGATGTGGTGGGTGGCTTTGTTATAGCAACAGTCGTGGTAGAGGGACGATGGGTAGTAGTTGGTGTTGTGGTAGGTTGTGGAGTAGTGGTTGTGGTAGGCTGAGGAGTGGTAGATGTGGTAGTTGTGGTAGTTGGGGGTTGCCACCATGGTGGTAATGTAGTGGTTGGCCTGGAGGTGGTAGTCGTAGCAGTTGGTGGTTGCCACCAAGGTGTTGTTGTTGTTGTTGTTGTTGTTGTTGTTGTGTTTGATGTTGTAGGTCTTGTAGTAGTGGTAGAACTTGAACTAGTCCAGTCTGGCCAAGTTGAAGGTGAAGAAGTAGGTGGTTCATATGATGGTGTTGAGCTGATTTCACCTACATTTTAAAATAATTTAAAATCACATCAGTGAAATCTAGGAGTCCATTTTGTCAATTTTATGTGTATTATATATATATATATATATATGAACTTACTAATGTGATAATTATATTTTGTTACCAGATATTAAATAAACCTAATGCAGTTGTCAGCAGCAGCTTGTCATTAAGGGCAAGTGCCTCATTAAAACACAAGTACCATTTTAAATGCCAAAAAAGAATGATCAATTTATTCACAATAGCAATGCTTCTTAATAGGGTTTCTTTAGTGCATTTACCTATCCTGGTTCCACCTTATAAGTTGCCACTAGTAATCATCTAAGTACACAAAAACCTATCACATCAACAAAATAATTACAACTTGCCTGTATCTATACCAGTAGTAAGGGTGGGTGGTTGTGGTGTGACAGGTGCAGGTGGTTTGGTGCAGTCTGTTCTGCTGGGCTCCCGCTCTGGTAAGTTGCCCAACAGACGGTTGATGGTTCGCAACAAAGGGAAAGGTTCTCTGCAGCAAAGGTTGTTAAAGTCATCCAAGTCGACTGTATATGCCACTGCTCCACCAAAACCCATATTTTTAATGTATTTTACCTGCAGATAAAATAAATGTTTAGTCTTTTGGAATAATCCAAATTACACTTCATTTATAATAAATAATAATCAGTATGAAAGACCCAATCCTCCAGCTTCCATTTTATGAACACAGTTAAAAGTTAGAGTAGGTTTCTAATGTTTATACATGTAGTTCTCTTAGAAGAAACAGAGTAAGTGAAATTATTAATTTTACAAGGGTTTGAGGACCTTGTTCACATTATCTAGAATATTCTATAACATAACACCACTATTCAGTATCTGAAAGCATGGTTCATTTCTGCTACAGTGTTATCTTTAAGAAAGCTGATATTTTATATTTATATTAACACAGTAGTTACTCAGCTGTACAACAAATTATTGGTGCATAATAAAACAGTGTTTGCTATTTATTAGGTTGATAGGTTAAAGCTAGCATTTGCTATTTTGTTTCACCCATGCATACGTAAAGTGCCAAAGCTGTTATATTTTAAGCAGTATATTTCAATCTTGATATCTTTTCACTGTTAGCTTCTAAACATACCTTCTCTTTGACAGACTCAACATCCTCATAGCCAACCCACTGGTCATCTGAATATGTGTATGGACCTGTGGCTCCATAACGGTCATGTTTCACTGTCCAGCGCTGGTTACGAACTGCAAAATTGTTACAAATTATCTAATTGACCTTTTCATTGCTACAGATAAGAAATTTCCGTTTTTCAGAAATGCTCATTATCAGCTTACCTGTGTCACAAATCTCATAGTATGCCAGCATGCCGGGTTGATTGGTAAACTTGCCAGGTCTACCTGGACCATTCGATGGTGCTCCTGGATCAGTGTCTGTCATAGATGCCAATGTGAAGCTCTGTCCATAGAATGGAATTCCAACCAGCAGCTTGTGACGAGGGGCTCCCAAACTTACTAAGTACTCCATGGTATAATTCTATTTGGCAACAGAAAACTGATTATTTTCCAGGAACTGAATCTGGGAAGAAAAGGTTGTGACCTATTTCAAGGTACTATAGTCTAGAGGAATTAAGGAATATCATCAAAAGCTTCAATCAGAATAGTTGGTTTCCCATTCAACATTCAAACTGAATTCATTCCGAATATTTGTCAGAACCATGACTACTTGAACCAACTTACTCAGACATATAATATGGCTAAAAATATTTTAACTCTACACAGTTCCAACACTGTCTGCACTGTTTCCAAGTATAAGTCTTGTCTAGACTCAAAACTGTTTTAATATGGGCAGAATTTAATATAGTGCAATTATTTTATACTGTAAATCTTGACATTCTAATACCACTAGCATCACCTAAAATAGTCATATAAAATAAAAATACTATAGTAACAAAATTATCACTTTATTTCATCAAAGTTAAAAAATTAGACTGACATACCAACTTCATCCAATAGAAGATATTGAGCAGGTTATCACATAACTTAGTAATACATGACTGAGGAAGTATTTCTAACATTAGATGATGTGTAAACATACCGTGTTGTATTGAGGGACTTGATCGCCACTACGGTAGTACAAAGGACTGACATGTCCCAAAATCTTCTCCCAAGCTCCATGATAATCATAACTCATAACAGACATAAACTCAACATAACGCCCAATTGCAGGTAAGTCATATGCTTGGTCTATCACCTCCTTGTAGCCTGACAGTGCAACTGCCAACACTAATGGGGGCTGTTGTCTCTGGAACTCCTTGCTCAGTTCCTGTGGCAAACATTTCTTATGTGTATATTATTTACCAAAACGAAAAGAAACAAAGATAAGGCAAACAGACAAAGAAAAACAGGCAAAAGCCAGCCACTTAATCAGCAGCATAAATTGTAAACATTTGTTTCAAAAAATAAATAAAAAATAGGCTATATTCTTTATGTGCAAAGTAAGAGTCACTAACCCTTTAAAGCCAAATAGTAATTATATGTACCTCTCAATGACTGCATTTTGTCCATAGAGTGTATTTATGATTTTAATGATGATTCTCAGAGCAAACAGTGATTATATCCTCAAAAAAGCATCAACCAATTGATCTTTGTAATGGAGAAGAGTGTTTTTATTTTTAGGTATGAACTGAGATTTTAAATATTATTTAGATGAGTTCTGGCTTGAAAGGATTAAAAGATAATATAAATTTACATACTGCAAGGTTTTTCATAACTGCTTAGGCTACCGCATGACATTTCAAAAAGGATGGCCAATTTTAAAATTATTTTACTTTCTGATGAGCTGTATTTACAATGTTGAAAATTCTATCTAGTTATCTTAATTCAATTTAGAACTTGCCTGGATCAATTTAACAAAGTTAGCTTTATCTGAAGCAGGTCCTTTGTTACAATTAGACTGCCAACATTTTGGATAGTTCCAGTCAAGATGAAGCCCCTTGAAATTATGTTGTCTTAGATAACTGACCACACTAGCCACAAACTTTCTTCTTGTAGCACCATCACTCACTAAACGGGAATATTTATCTCCCGTTGAGTCAGTCCAGCCACCAAGAGCTAATAGGACCTTCACATCAGCCCCATGTATCCTGGGACCATGAAGAGAGGTCAGACGCTGGTAGAAATCTAAACAAAATGAGATAGAAACAATTTTATTATCAACAGGTGCATTGCATTACAAAAAAGCATGAGAAATGGTGTACAAAACAGGAATATGTATTAGGAAAGCTATTTTTAAATTTAACTAAAACTGGGGTATATTTGCATACTGAGGCAAAACGGAGGAGAAGACTGAGGTTCCACAATATACTAGCACACTTCAAGAAAAGCTCCAAAAGATCTTAAATTTCATTCCATGAGCCACTGGAGATCCCAACTGTACACAGGTAAGTAAAAATACAGAAACATTATTGCACAAACTGCATGACACTCTGGTGGCTCTCATAAACTTCATGCATCTTTCCTGTTTCATCTGTGGTGTTCAAAATTATTTATCTCCCCACCCCCTTAAAGACTGAGCCTCCACTTAAACGATATACTCTCGTGACTCACCATTGCAGTAGTGAAATTTATTCTCAGGATACCTACTGGTAATGCTAATGGGAGTCATTTAAGTAGAAATCTATGATAATCAAAATAATATTCATGCTTTACTTGCAGCAAAATTGCACTTTAAGACCTTCCAAAATTAGATCTAAAATTACTCACTGTTTTCTAAATCTGCCCAGCTATCAAAAGGCTTCACAACAAGTTCTTCAGGATCAAGGGAAGCATATGCATAGACAATGTGAGTGCAGAGTCTGGAGTCTACATGCTCAGGGACAAATTTGGCATCACCCTTCCGATAAAATGCCCAGCTTGTGAAATAGCATACAATCTTGTAGTCTTCCTCTGAAATCAGGAGAGAGACCATAAACTCACAGTGCAGCATGGAAAATTATTTGAGTTTTATTTTTAAATAAATATGAAGGCAGAAAAATTGAGGAAGGGAGGTGTCCATATTACTGTGTGTTATTCTATTTCATACATTCACATGTATAAAATTATTACATTTATTTTGAAATAATTAATGAATCTGACTCCAAACAGATAAGAGAACTATGGATATACATGTGAAAGAAAATAAAGAACTATTGGCATGAACATGGCTGCAAAAAGAAAAATCCCTACTATATTATAGAAGCACTCCAATTAAAACTTTTGATAGTACAGTCTGGCACTTGGAAAATCCTAATGTATGCTTACCTGGAAGGAATTGCTTATTGTTAAGCTTGACACTGTATCTGCTGAAACCAACATTATTATTGTCCTCGCTAATAATGGTTTCTGGATACAAGAAACTGCTCACAGCATGATTTAAGTCTTCTACTGCCTTTACAGCTGCACTGGGTGGTTCAGTGCAACGTGTTGAAGTGCCATAGTAACAAAGCCCCATTGCAGGATCAAAAAACTGACCCATTCCACAGGCAAAACGATATGCTTTTCCATCCTGTGAGAAAAATAAATGATAAAGATGGGACACTTAAAAGATAAATTAATTTCAAATTTATGATGTCATCATGTCAGTTTAAATCAAGAGACAAATTTTTCACCACAGAACTTGATTCTAAAGATACTGCATATATTTACCTGACACCAGTAATAGTTTCGACAATTTTCATGGTCTTCATAAAGTCCATTATTGATGCAAATATCCTTAGATATGTTATCTGTTACTGAAGTAACTGTAAAATAAACATATGAAGAATATTGGTAATATTTAGATGAAAGAACCTTTAATCCAGAAGCATGATTAATAATACAATGCTGGGAGGATATAAAGTAAGCTGTTAAAATATATGAGTACATTAGAAAAATAAAGAATACTATCCATTCCTCTTTTATCAGCACTGCCAAACAAGACAGCCAATTGGTTAGCTCTCCTATTTCATATTCAGGAGGCTCTGCTTCAAATCTCAGCCTGGAGATCAGTTATCCCATCTGAGGTTTTTGTGGTTTTACTCAGTCCCTTCAGGCAAATGCCAGTATAGTACCTTAAATGAGGCCATGAATGCTTTCTCCCACATCTTTTCTAGTTTGTTATTCACTCATCATCCTACATCATTTGAGCTATACGGTCTGAGCTACTAAAAATGAGCATAAAATAAACCAAAAATAAACAAAATCAACATACCTGCTTGTAATTCCTTGCCTGTTTGTGAACCAGGCGTGTTATCACAGCCAGCAATATGTGGCCAGTTACACGAATTCAAAGATGAGTCATAATGGAGACCATCAGGGCAGAGATAGGTGTGCTTCATGCCCCATTCGCACAGATAGTAGACTGCACAGTTATTGGGATCTCTCACAAAGCCCTGACCAGTACAGTTCACCTGGTCTGCTTCAACTGACACTGGTGAGCCAGGTATTGGTGGTGGGTTGAATACTGGCCACTGTGAGATTGGCTGCTTATCCCCATCAACTGCAACACAGTTTCCCATTACCATTAATCTTCATCAGCCATATGCTTTGGTTTCTACTGGTCATGTGTAACCATATAATATTTCTAAATCATTAAACTACAGAGTTAAGTCCAGCCAAGAGCCCTGTAGTGTAAGGGTTTAAATCCCTGTTCCCATATAATAAAGGTTAAAGAACATAAATAAAACATAAATAATACTTTACCAAGCAGAGAATTTCTCACAGTGGATAATAATGGCCATTTTTCCCCATACAGGCCTTCAAAATCATCCAGGTCTGCAGCCCATACCATGGCTCCTCCGAGACGATTCTTTTTAATGTAAGCCATCTAAATGAACAAAGAATAAGAAGAAACCATTAAATTACTGTCATTCCCAACAGATGTGACATAAGTATTAGTTGTATAACAAACTGATATAATGTAATGGCTTTAAGATGTCTTTTACAGTATCATCTGCTTTGATGGGGGTGAAACAGCATGGATGAAAGTCAAAATAGTTCAGAATTATAAAATGTAAAATTTCTACACATGTTACAAGACCAGCACCAAGCTTAATAATGAAACAACACAAAAGTTATCTGGTTGAATCAATTTCATTCAAGATATAAAGAACATCTGAATTTGGTTTTTCTTTTAACATATTATATCAAATATATAAGGTTTACATGCATTAATTTGAATAGGTATAAATGCAGTGCCTGTTTCAAAGAAGAGCACATTTTCTTATTCAGTCTACAGCTCAGCAATGAAGGACTAATCTACTTGTGAGATGGAAAGCATAAGAAGAACTGCAGCTTTCTGTCAAATTTGTGTTGTGCATTAGGAGATTAAAATCATAATTACAGGCACAGCTGATAGCATCATTATGTCTAATGGTAATCATCATTAAGTCCACAATGCAATAAAGACTTCTGATCCCTATTATCTGCACCAATTACTTCTTTCCCAGCATGCAGACTTTGCATGTGTGCACTACATATTACTCACTAATTACATCACAACTGTAAACATATTTTTAATTAAATATAAGTGTCTAAGAGTGATGGCGCCAATTTACCAGTGAAAAATATCACAAAGAGAAATTTTCAGTTACACATCTTTTTTGTACATGTTGAAAACACCTGTTAAGCACTACTCAGAGTTTCAAGTGCTTTCTTTTCATTGAACTTCATTTTTCTTTATCTGTGTAAGTTTCAATAGATTATTTAAGTAAAGTTACCTTAGTAGCAAGACTGTCACGGTTATCATAACCAATCCACTGATCTCCTTTAACAATGTAAGGACTGCCCACATCATCTGTCTCCCTCTTCCAGTTTTTATCTTCCAGAAGCTCACAGATTTCAAAGTAAGCCAGAAATCCCTGCTCCTGAGTGTAGTAGCCTTCCCTTCCAAAGCCTTTAATTGGGGCAGGAGGTGTTGTAATACTGGAGTTTGTCAATGTGAAGGATCTACCATAGAATGGTACACCAACAATCAGCTTCTCTCGTGGAATGCCTTTCTTCAGCCAGTAACGAACTGAATAGTCCTGTCATTGTAAAATTCAAAGTTTATTTTAAACTTGAATTGTTGACTAAATGCTGCTGTAATTGTACATTTCACTAGAAGTGAAATGTACAAATGTACAAATAGGAAACAAACTATGGATATCTGTCATTACTTTATTGTTATGAACTAAGTCAAGAGGTATGCAATGTGTTGAGAAAGACACTAGAATGAGGCATGAGGTGAATATAAATTAGCTAAGATTATAATAAAAAATGTTTATATGACATTGATCCATGAATTATAAATTCAGTACATATAAACAAATCTGCTGGGTACCAGAGTAAAGGTAGTTTTTTATATTAATATTTCAATAAGTTTCAATATATTCTTCCTGAACTGTTCTCTAGTTTGTTTAAATATATATTGTTCTCTAGTTATAATGTGTTTAAGAACCATCTACCAACTGTGACATTAACCACAAGAATATATGCTAAACCTTGTTCCACACTGGAAATTTCTTACAGCAGGCATGTAACACAGGAAAAGTTACATCAGATGTTTCTGAAGAAAAAACATTTCATATGGCCTAATTGTATACTTACAACACTGTAAAAGACATTGAGGCCTGTGTCATGTTTCCTCTGAAGAAGAGGAGCATGGTGGTCAGCTGAATGATCTCTTTCTGCATGCATATCAAATGTCATCAAGTTGATAAAATCCAAGTTGCGGGCCAGGCGATGTACATCATATGCATCCTCTAGTCTGAACCTTGAAGGTGACACAGCTGCGGAGAGAAGCCATCCTCGAGGAGCAAACACTTCAGACAACTCTTCTGTTAGAAGTGAAAAGTGTTCCTTATCTGATGGCCTCCCTCCAAGGTCCTCAGCTCCTGTAATACACCCATTCAAGCATACATTATACTTCATAGAACAAATAAACGCTCAACTTGTTAAATTATAGGATAATGATCTGCCATTTGTGTATTTATACATGGCAATAAAATAGGATTTTGTCTTGTTTTATATCGAAAATGTACTTCACCTTTCAGACATATGTAGCATGTCTTCCCATAGCAGTCTAACTAAGCACATGCAATGTCTAACTGCATTAAATAAATAATTGGGAAAGGTGATTGAACTCCTAAATGCATGTTAGTGGAAGCTGAGGTTACAAATTATGAACATTCCATTTGCTTCTCTTATTATATAATACTGCAAAATTAAATTAGACAAAAATTCACTGCTAAATTAAACAAAATGTACAGAAATTGAACATGAAGTGTAATTACTTTACACAGGGATCCCTCATTTAGCAGTCTTTAAGCAAGAAGTAATTTGTTTTTAAAATGTCTTAATTCTTTCATTTAATATGTTTTATTTAGCTCATGTGCAGTATGATATATAAAATTAGTGACATGCATCACATACAGAACCATGTGGCTATAGTATTGCATTCAGTGTGAAAACCATCACACAACTATATTATCACAAACACAGAATCTCACTATGTAAAATGTCACTATTCTGAGTAAGTGTTAACTTAAATTTTCAAACCCAGATAATTTTTAGTTGGGAACACATGTCCTAATTATATATATTCATATAGAAATGTAAATTTATTCCATCCATTTTAATTTGTTATGGCTTTTTAATAATGTATTAATGATGATGTTTGAGAAAACCAAGTAGTCACAAGTAGAAACAGAACAGTCCAATATTTGTTGTTACTCTGGTTATTAACTATGGAAATGTGTGTGCCTGCTAAAAGCTCCTTCAACACTTCTGTTTCCTTTTATTACGAAGAGCATTTTCCTAGCATTCATAATTTGTTCATAACTACTACAACAAAAGCCTTCAAAATAACTGCCAGTTTCTCAGCAACCTTTTTATAAGACAACTTACAGTGTTATTTTAAATATTTTCTTTCATGTCTTTTCTAGGCAAATGTTCCTTATTGGCTTACTGTCTTGCAGTATTTTGTTATTCACATTAAACTGTTATTTAAATTTTATGAACTTCTGTTTTACAGAGTATATCTGTCACACTCTACCACACTATGAAAGATTCATAGATGATTTCTGTTATAGGATTAAAATTTACTGTAAAACATTTACAAGATGAAGTTGGACAAAACAAGTTCCACTGAGTATCACGTGTTCGTATGTAACAAAATTCTACCTGGATATTCCCAATCAAGGTCAAGACCATCAAAACCATGAACATCAAGAAAATGAATTACAGAGCGGATGAATTCTCGACGCAAAAAGGCACTGCTGGCCATCTGTGAGAACTTGTGACTTCCTTCTATCCAGCCGCCAACAGAGATGAGGACTTTGAGTTGTGGATTCACACGCTTCAGTCCCACCATTGCCCGGTACCCTCCTGCACAAATTAAATTGTACTAATGAATTAGTAAAACCGATACATTATTTCATTAGTTTTTAATTGTGACATTTTAAACAAATTTCAAAATTTATTTTACCTTTTACAATATCATACTCCTCATCCTGAGGCAAAATGGTAAAAGAGTGAGGATCCAAAGTAGCAAATGCATACACCACATGCGTGCAAGCAAATGGGTCCAAATCCAGAGAATTGAATCTCATAGGTTCCTTGCGATATACAGCCCATCCTTCTACGTAGCACACCACATGATATGGTTGATTCCCTGTTAACAGGCACAAACTAATCTTTAGAACTGTATAAATAAATTTTATAAATTAAAGTAGAAAAATTCAGGGGCTAAATTTACTGAAAACTTTGAATAGCAGTTTACTTTCCCATTACTAAAAATGTGTACAAGATATAAATTATCCAGCAGCTGGTATTAAGATACTATTCCTTTCCTAATATACTGAGGGTAAATGAACTTCAGAAGCAACAGATGGTGACCTGAAATGTTGGCAGACAGCCAAAATACTATAAAGTACAACAATCCAGACCACCATCTATATTCACATCACAATGAAAACCACATCTTAAAACTTCAAAAGCCTCAAAACAGGTTTTATCATTGAAAAAACACTGAAGCAGAATAAACCCAGACAACAACCATATTTATAGGAACTTATTTATCTGTGTCACTTATGAAGCTAAACAAAAAGAGAAATAGTGTGAATTCTTTAAGTAGAAAGTAATGCATTTTATTAAACAAGAATTTTGGAAATCTTATGGAAGTTGTTGAAAGAGAGCTCAGGATTCAACAAGTAAATCATTTTCTTTCTTCACTTAATGGTAAATACTACCACAGCTGGGAAAAAACTGACTTGCAATAACTATCGAAAACAAAATGTGGAAATAAAATGTAATGGAAAACCTGAACAAACAAATTTAACCAGACAGAATTTATGCCTGTTGCTGTAAGAATCATTGGTACAAGGAAATACTGGACACCAGAAGAAAATGCAGAGAGACCAACTGACCCTAAAGGGTTTAGGGATAGGAAATAAAGCCTAATCCTACATAGTTCATAATCATATTAAACTTTAAGAACAAAGACAGTTATTACTCTTATATTATTGCACCAGGACTCTGTCAAGTGAGAAATTTTTCTGCATAATTATTTTATTATGCACACTGGAATTTTGTTTATTACCTGTGACCTTATTTCCATAATAATGTGCTGCCTTAAAGCTGGCACCTGATTCTGTAGTTTCTCCAGTAACAGACGAGATATACTTCTGTTTTGAGAGAAGCTTCTCTCTCCACCAGGCAAAAGTTGACCCAAACTGACCAACACTGGGTAAAACTTCAGACCACCCAATATCAAATGGATTGACACTAACGTCAGGGTAAGGTCTGTGCTCAACTGCATCTCTCAGTGGTACTCGGTGATCTGACCTGATGGAATAATATAATCTGTTATTTTAACATTATTACCATTAAAAATAACATCATACTTACTGGAAAAGTATAAGAAATATAATATATGTTTGGGGGAATTAACCTCTCACTACATGCAAGACAAATTTATGGGTTAAATGCAGGTCTGACATTCCTGTCACATACAATCTGGACATCCTCAAACACAATGTACAGTTATTTTACTAAAATGTAATTTATCTGCAAAATATTTTAATCCTAATGTGTTGGAATTGTTAGTCTTTGTATAAAAAACCTGCATGACCACTTTTTACTAAACTTCTACATTACCATTATTTGTTAGACTTCTTAGCATCAAAAGAGTGTTTGAAGAAAGATTATCAACCTAACAATGTATTTCTGCTACTGGAGTATTTACCTATAACTTGAAGTATGCCTTGGAACACTTTCAACAGCTTCTCTTAGAGGAAGAGATTGTGTTCCAAACACATACCCCACGAAGGACGAACGGTGAGAACTCCTTTGATTAGGTTTCTCATAGGAAGGGATCCATTCAACAGAATCCCTCTGGAATGTCTGAACATCTTCTGGTGGATAATGATGACTTGATGCCCCTCTCTTTTGGAGAAGTGTCGACAGTATAAATATCAGCACCACAATAAGGTCATACGTTTGGAACCTCATTTCTCTCTGTAAGGAATAATGCCAGCTCAATCTGATTAAATTTGTATACAATAAAATAAGTTGAAAGTAAAGATGACAGATGCTGGTATTATACAACACCACTGAATTTTAGAGAAATAAAAATTTTATCTATTACATGACAATGCTGGAGGACAAGAACAGAATAAGCAATATACCTTTTTTTGAGAAAGAAATTGGTTTTTTTGTGTATTCATGGAGCACTGACACTAATTAATCATTAATTACGATTTAAATGTTAACATTATTGATGCTAGATAATGAAGAAATTCAAATGTGAAAGAGACTCCAGTGGTATTGTATTCATGAGTCTAATAACAATTGACAATTGTGTCAGAAGTTATTATAGACAGACACAGTGATAAAATAAGCTTATCTTTCATTATGCAGCATTGGACACCTAAGAGTAGATATGATATTATTAAAATGGATCTTGAAGAAACAGGATTGAGGATGTGGATTAGATCCATCTGCCTCAAGAAAGGTGGGCCTCTCTGTAATTGTAACAAACCTATGAGTTCCAAATAAGGCAGGGTATTTCTTGACAAGCTGAATGACTACTAGTTTCCCTAGAAAAGGCTTCTCTGTGCAGTTATCTTTCCTCATAAGACCAAGGGAAGAGACCAATATGTGGAGAGAATCATTTTTATGAAGAATGCCAACTGGTCTCTTTTTCATCAGCAGCTTCTGAAAGGTCACTGCCATAGTCTCCTTGATCTTGATACAACACTAGCATCAGACGCAACAACTTGTCACTGATCTTCAATGACAGACGTTTTGAAGCAAGGGCAAGATGACAAGTAAGAATTTATTTTAGCAGAGTCATTGTAATCTTAATTCATTTGCATGTTTCATGCTGATGTATCACAGTGTCAATGTATGGATGAAACCTGGAGCCACTGCAGGAATATAAATGGCAGATACATTGAATGTAGCGTACGTTGAAGTTAAAGATTGCACTTTGTTCCATGAATAGTCTGTTGTCACATTATCAAACGCAAGTTCCAAAATGAAGAAGCAGATATATTAATAAACCACATACGACCCAGAAGACCGAGAATGAAATGGGAGAACAAAAAATAGTTCAAAGAAATATGTTGCAAGAATTGGAGGAGGGTCATATTCATATTATGGTATAAGTACTCTCAGTATTTGCCTGGATGAACAAATGAAAACACGAGACACCTGTCAGCAACAAAACAAATCGTGCAGAAATCCCAAGATAAGAATTAGTGGAATTAGATTCTGAACTAACTTAATCATCAAATGATTAGAATTACTGCTTTGTAGTCCAGAAACACTGCTTTGAATCTCACCCAATCCACAGCATATTCTGATATATTTGTGGATTTACTCAGTCTCTCCAGAAATGATAAATGGACATGCATTTTCTCCTTTTATTTAATGACTTTTTTCAGTGTTTGCAAGAGCGGTCTCATGGTGGAAAGAGTCATATGCTCCTCCGGTGAAGCCTTGTAATGCATCAAGTTCGCTTCACGGTTGTGCTGTCTAGAAAACTCTGCGTGTATCATCCAATGACAGGACAATTGAGAATATAGGGTGGGAACACATGGAAGGGAGTGATCTTAATCTAATTTTTGAAGTATCATCCAAGGTTTTCACCATCACGAGTAGAGTGAGGACCTACGTATCTGAATATTATGCTTTCATGTTTTCATTAATTTCACAGTAAAAGTGTTTTGCACACAACTCAAGAGAAAGAAGCCGCAGACACAGAGACATGGCTGTCTAAACCTGTCTTACCTAAGTCCAATGTACAAGAATATAATTAAGCAAATTGTTCTGTCATGGATAGTAGCTTGGAAACGACAGACATAACTTAGGATTATCTGCTTCACAGTTGCTGCTGTTTGCCACTGGAAGCATCAGCTAAACATATTTACGAAACTAGTGGCATATGCTCGTTAGCAGGGATGGTAATACTGCAGCTATCGATGGCTAAAAGCAAGGTCGTTAATAAGACATTAATATTCGTTTAACTAACGACGTTCAAGGAGAAGAATGCATTAAATTGTGTATTATACAATGGGGTGTTTTTAATTTCAAGACAGCGAGGGTTTTTGCTAATACGGAACCGTGTAATATGTTAGAAACACAAGTAAATATTTAGTATAATATACAATACCCGGCAATGTTTCTTCGTTTATATTGTATGTAAAGCGATAAAATACTCTCATTGTATCCATAGTCATTCTAAAGACGGCATACGTATTTTAAACTAAAATGGGCCTTATTTTTAAATCAGTAAATCTTTAAGTTTGGCAATGACACAATAAAATGTTTATAATGAATAGAAACCATATCGAATGTCATGTGCCCAGATGCAATTCTCGTCTCAATTTTAATAAAATTCCTTAGTGCTAAGCGCACCTAACAAATACGTATTAATGGACGGACAGACAGACGGATGGATTACTGCTGTCCATCTGAATGGATAACTAGATGAGAGGTTGAAAGAATGGTTGGTTGGCTAGTTAGCTGGATGAAATGACAGAATAGATGGATGGATGTTTGACTGACAAGATGAATGGGTTAACGGATGGTTGGATGAACTGGTAATTGACTGAATGAACGGATGAATGCCAGAATGGAAGGATACATGAATAACTGGTTGGATGTATGGATGCATAACTGACCGGCCGCAACTATATGTAACAGCACAGAGCAAAGCCCTTCTTCAAAAGCTAATAACCGCTTACCTAGTCAACAAACTGAGAGCTTCTAAAAAAAATCCGAAGGTTCATTGCCGTGTCAACGACAAAGCGCCAAAGGACAATATTTTGAGCTAACCGAACACAGCCCACATCCTCACAACCTATGCTTTCAAAATTCACTTAAATATTATCCATCCATTGAACGTAGCCCACATCCTCACAACCTATGCTTTTAAAATTCACTTAAATATTATCCATCCATCTACGCAGAGGTCCTCAGAATCACTCAGTCAATAGATAAATCAAGCATTTTGATCACGAAAAATTAAAATAATTTTCAGAAATTGTAAGTATACCTGGCAGTTAAAAGTGTTCCCTCGTAACTTACACTTTTTTGAGTTTTGCAGTAGAGGTGCTTATTATTTTCAAGGTACATAATTCAGTACGCAATTAATCACCTAAGACCCCGCGGCTATACACACGCAAGCGGTACTGAAATCACGAAGATGAAGAGGGTGAATGTGATCTACCGCAGAACCTGCAGCTACAAGTAAACTTCTGACCTTTACTACATAAAATAACTTTACCCTAATAACACCTTCCGCATCACTGAATGCTTTCGCGGATAGTAATCCTCGCGTCCACCCACACGCTCGTCTTCGTTTAATTATTGTAATTTTTTGTGTTTTAGCGTACAGTGACCCGATGTGTTCACTGGACCTTACAGAAGAGAGGGTCAACAATCTTCATGTTTATACCTCACCAGGCAACATGAGATGAAGAAAAAAAGATCCAAGTCGTAGGATCCAAAGCTGGAGATTGGAAATATCAAAGCCGCTAAACGTCAAAGAATGACATGACAACCGAAAGACAATTTGCAAACCTGACAAGTTGCGGATGATACACTTCCACATTTAAGATGAGATAATCATAGAAGTGACGAAGCAAAACACACACCTTCTTAATTAAAATGGAATTACGGAAGAGAGATTAGATCCTAGATAATTCAACATTACGGCTTGTTTAGGTGCTTGACCCTTTGATCTACCTTAAGCACATATTGGTGTGAGGATGTGGACTGGATTAATCTGGCTCAGGATAAGGACCAATGATGGGCTCTTGTGAACAAGATAATAAACTTTCGGGATTCATAAAAGGCGACCATGAGCTTCTCAAGAAGGGCGCTGCTCCACAGAGTTAATTGTTAAATGCGAATGATAAAAGTTAAGTGTAAGTGTAAGAAATGCTGTCCGTCTGTGACCTCGGTGCCGCCCCAAGCAATGAGAAACTGAACAAACAGCTCAACTTTATCAAAACTTCCTCAAAATTAAAACCACGAAATTCCCTGACGTGACGAAAACCGTCTTTGGTATATAAATCTTAAAACAAGAAGCAGCGATTAAACAAGGCGTCACCCAGTCATAGAAATATCGAGGTTGTAGAGGAACTGGAAGCAGAATACTGGACGATATTCGTACAAATATTTGAATTATGTTCTTAATCACAGGTCCTCACATTCGTAGCGTAATAGTCAGCGGCACAGCAAGATGTAAAGAGTGTGGCTCCTGGAGGCCGCTTGTTTTACATGTCCCCGCCTCTGGACATGCATGTAGTCCTGTAGACACAGCACTTTCACGATAATTTTTAACGGTGATTTAATACAATGAACTGCATCACAGAATAGGTATGGATATTAAGAAACGGTAACTTAGGTCTTTGTGGAAACGGGTTGTATCATGCCCTAAGCATCACTGAAAGTTCAATGGTCGGACAGGATTCTTCAGACTTCCCTTTTGATTCTAAACAAGCACTTTACAGGTTCTAGAAGATTAGTTGAGTATCTGTCAATTAGCGAAGCACGTCTTAGATCAATTCGAGAAGCTAAGGGACCGAATCATTACTAAGCTGAACTTTTTCAATATAGAGCTCTAAACATTTCAGCCCATAACACACAATTCAGCGAGACAGGATATTGTAGAAGACCGAACAGAAGAAAACAGAGAAATAGAAACAGTGGGGGGGGATTACACCCATCAAATACATGAGGACCCTCTTGATATCTTTAACATTTCTCCACGTGACAAATTTAGGTCACCATTGATGAAATATTAATAATTAATAGAATTTACCAATTACTCATAAACTCCCAAATATTTGCGTGACTGTCTTTATCATAAGAACTCCCTGGATCGATGCATAGCCTATATTTAACTTCTTCGCAAGCAGGGAATTCAGATTACCACATAATTTACAGAACGTTTTGTCCGGTAAATACAACGATAAATGTTTAAAGCGTATTGTGTGTATTTACCAGTCGCATAAATGAAAGTGAGACGCCATATCCGAACAGAGAGAACATGAGGCGGTCTGTAGCTTATGAAATGATGCGCACGTGTTACTTTCAGTTTCTCATGTGTCGCTGTTGATATAGGCATTTAATATAATATATTTTATAACTATTTATTAACTGTTTTTACATATATCACGGGCTTATGTTTATGAGACACAATGCGTCATCATTACAACGATCAACTGGCTAATGCTGTTCAAAGAAATCGCTGTTTATTCTTACGAAACCCACAAACACAATGTCCTCAGTTTCTCATTATTAGGGCAGGTGGTACACGTAACAGTAGAATTTAAAAAGTTAACCCTTTGAAGCACGAAACTACTCTAAATAATATTTAAAAATCCAGTTCCTACCTCAAAGAAAACACGTGTCTCCATTACAAAAACCAGTTAGTCAGAGAGGCTTGGCGGCAAAAAAAATCGCTGCTCATTGTGAAAATCATGCGAAACACATAAATACACCTCTGTGAGCAAAAATGCAGTGTTACTGATGTTTAATGCAGCTGGTACATACAATTACCATTGGATTTTAAATGGTTAACTCTCATTTATATCTTAGTTTTATCTGCGTTTACTTTCAGATCAACATCCTCACTAGCGTCTATTACTGATTCTCTGAATTTCTTTATGGTAATTACGTTTTCGCACATAAACTAAATAAGCATCGACGAGAATCTAATGCGTCCCATTCGGTTCCAACACTTTCCGATTTTCTCGGACAGTCCTAATCGCGTATTTTAAAGTGAAGTTGGAAAGAAATGATGATAAAGCATCTCCTTGTTTGAGGCCATTCTGGATATAAAATGTATCATAGCAATTTTTATGTGATAATGAAGTTATGAAAAAAGTATTGTGGCCCATATCAAGAATTTGTCCGGAAAGAATGAGGAAACCACAAGAAAAAACCCTGCCAGGATAGCTGATAACACCGATGGCACTTGAACTGTATTCCCCGAATACAAGCCTAAAGCGTTCCAGCTACACGGCATATTTGTGACGAATAAATATAAATAAACTAATGTAATGAATACCGCGAAAACCAGACTAACTCCAAGACAATGGTTCCCGATGTAGCTCTGTCTATCCGAAATCCGAAACAGAACTCTGACTGGGGATCGAACTCAAGTCTTGACGGAAGCTACGCATACTCTAGCCAAACGGGATTCAAAGGTAACATTTACCTTAGCATGAACTACTGTCTGTACATGTCTCGAGGCATAATATACAGTAATATAAACAAAAAATACATGATTTGTATGCTTAGACCTACATTTATGTACTTATATATTAACGCAAATGTAATCTGTGCTAGTGTTGCTTAGGATAGCTTCTTGAATAATGGACTATAACGGAATTTACAATCTGTCACCTATCTGGTGTAATAAACAAACAAACAAACAAACAAAGTCAATGAAATACCAGAAGAAAACTAGTTAGTTCCTTCACCTGATGCATTTAACGTCAGTTAATACATGTGTACAGATTACAAGTTGATAGCAGGAGAATTTGGGGACGAGACAAGCTGCAAAAGACAAAAGACAAAAGATGGTGTGAGGGGCAACTGTACCCCAACGTAATTTCGACGTCTCTGAACTGTTATCTTATCATCTGTCATCCACTAGACACTTACCAGTGTCACAGTGTTCTGAGAAACACTTTCCCCCCACCAACAGCTTATAAGGAATCCATTCTGAGAACAAAACTCTAGTTCAAGTGAAAGGAGATAATGACTGTAATTATTAGGAGGCAATACTTCAAGTGGAAATTGGACTGTCAGAAGCAAAGTACAAGAATTAGGCGGACCGAAAGGGGCTTTCCTCACACAACAGAGAGATTATTAACATGTAAGACTTGAGGTTCTCACAGCGGTGAGTATGAAGATTTCCGTCTTCTGGGTTTTTGCGTTGTGTAGTCTGGTAGATGGTTACCGACGTTTCAGAGGTCATACTGCCTCCGTCATCAGACACAACGCAAAAACCCAGAAGACGGAAATCTTCAGATTATTAACAATTTAGCGACGTCCATACATTTTATCGCTAAGGTTAACATTATGATAATATTTAGTCGAGGCATTTTACATTGTCCATTGACACAGGTGCTTAATATTTTACTACGTGGGAAGTACATCAGAGGAATAATCCTCTATCTTATTTACTCTCTTTACAATTAATTTTGAGTCTCTTAACTAGATGAGCGTACTATGAGCTCCACAAAAAGAACCCTGCTCCATGGACTTAGTTTACTGTTATAAGTTAACAGGTGGTTTGAAATTCAAGTTACACTGTACTAATCAGGGTAGTGTAGTTGTTTTGGTTTATACCCATAAATGCATCTTTACGGAATATATCGGATATCGGGAAAAGAACTGGTTTTTCGTACCACCGACAGTTAGCAAGACTAGTTACACAACATGCCAATACAAAAAGATGCCCAAGCATGTGATCAGAACTCAGGAACAACCAACATCGTGACATGCGGTATCCTCTGAGAGACAGTCGGAAGGACATTTAATGCGTAGTTATTCTGGGAGACGAATTTTCAGTCTGAAACTCTGAAATGAAGAGGCCACTCTGACGAGCTAGATGAGAGGATAACACTAAAATACATAGTAAAAAAAAAACAGGATGTAAACGTCTCTCTGCACATACTAGCAGTTGTCTTTGTAATCATTTGTGAAACGCAAACAATACAAAAGCTAGAGAAACAAATCCGTCTTCATGGCGTGACATTTACATAGAGGAATAAATTTGCTATCTTACCTTAACTGTCCCCTATACGTGCCACATTCCCGTCCTACTCATCCTCTACAGCTTCATTGACAATCTCGTGGGTTTGGCGGTATAAAAATAACGAATTCACTACTCACCAAGTTTCTGTGGACCGGATCTCAGAAAGTTACTACAGCCCTGATGACTAGAAGCAGATGGCAATCTTGAGGAACTTTTTGGGCATCTTTCACGAAAGTAACTGAAGTAGAATCATTCTTCGCCACAATTTTTCAAGTCCAATTCTTTAAAAATGTACTTCAATGTCTATAATGCGAATAAATAATAACAATCAGTAACACTTCTTTCTTGGGCCTGGAAAGAAAACAAGACATACAGCTGCCAGTACAGGTAACACATGTGAATAGTGTGTTTAAGATTTATTTGTACAAGCGTTAACTTAGACCGTTAACCGCCTACAGTAGTACTGAGATCAACACACCACAGCACTATAACCTTCTTCTTCTTCTTATCTTCTATTCATTCGTTTTACGAATCATTTGGCCATGAGTCAACACACCTTAGTCACAACTTCGGACTTAACAATTATGTTCCAAAGAAGTACCTTTCCTGTTTGAGAAGGTTCTATTACAAGCAATGGAAACAATTGACTTGGCAATGAAACCAGCAAAACAAGACGTATTTACCAACCTTATCTGATATAAGATTTGAATGTTATAATTTTAAAATTATTTTCACGTTCTTTCCGGATTGGCAGAACTTTTAGTGAATAACTAACACAAATTCATGCCAGAGCTAAAAGAACTGTGTGAAGGCTGAATCTGAAATAACCATCAATGACACAGCTACTTAGTTTTATAAATGAGTGAAGACTGGAACACTGTAATTGGTAGGCTTATGCATTTGGGAGATACTACGACGCCCCACCTGATAATGGAAGTAAGCTAATTGATGTCTGAGGGTCTGTCTCGCTTAGCTGTTGGGTAGCCACGGTCTGGAGCGTAAAGGATCGTCTGACAGGCCCTCTAAAGTGACTATATTATACCAATAATATTTTGGAATGAGAAATGCGTACAACATATTCGATGGAAAGCCGGAAAGGGAGAGACCACTCGAAGGCATAGGCATATATGAGAAGACGTGGACTGGATTAAACTTGCCCAGGACGGAGCCAAGAGACAGGCTATTACAAAGACGACAAATGACCTGCACAACTCATGAAATCCGGCACCAACTGACAGACTATCAAATTCCCAAGAACTCTGTTTTATGGGGTGAGTTTGTGATTTGAGTTAGTGATGCTATATACTCGTCAGAAAGTGGCGACTGCAAATGGTAACCATAACCCTTTGATGAAGATTACCCGAGTTTGTAAACTGACGTCTTCCTAGAAATGTTCATTCGCGGCAGACCGACTCAACAAAGACTTGACTAGAACTGAGATACTTTTTCAGTCATTACTCGGTATTAAAATAATGTGGGTTGTTGGGATTTTACATCGAATAAACCACGCATTAATGGGGACAGAATACTGCCGTGACTTAGTTACTATGCCGCGTGGACTTGTAGGCAGATACCGACATTTTGGATGAACACGCTTCCTCTATGAAGACAGAGGCACCATGTTCCTCCGAAACGTTGGATACAGTATCGACGTCAATAAGATACATCAAATCGCAACAGAGTTAATTTAAAAAAAAGGTGTGTTATGAATACGGTACGTAACACACATCAATGTTATTTCAACGTTTTGACCACAGGTCTCAGGATTGACTGCACAGCTGTTTAAAACGGGCGGTGACCGCGTGATTAAGAATCCCGGCCTGTTTGCATTCCATTGTAGCAGAAGTCAGTCAGTCGACTCCGATACAAGTCTCAGCAAATAAGGAACGACAGTGCACAATAAAAATCACAACACAGGACAAAATAAATCATAGAAATGAAACTGAGTAAAGCGAGAAAGTACGTACGTAAACATAAAGGAACTTTAGCACCTGTTTCATCTTTCTCGACCACTGAACTCAACTTTTTCTTATGTACAAATTAATACACTCACCTCCTAACTTCTGCGTGTAGGCATCCCGAGACTGTGTCGATTTGTGCGAAATTTATCAAACGGAACGTGTTTTAAAAACGGGGAGGGGGATCAAAAGAATGTAAAAAAATAAATAAATAAGAAAGCCACCCCATGATCTCAGACGGTAAGTTGTAAATAAAAATCTCATACAATGACCTTGAACTTGACCACCAATCAGGGATAGGTACAAAGAGGGAAGAAGGAGGGGCAAGCTGAGGGATATGAAGTGGGAGAGAGTTGCCAAACCTGCTCCCGTTCAAGATCTGCGACTGAAGATGAGATGGAAATCGCATTCTACTTGGTATGACCGAGGGTGCTACCCTTACTCCCTCTACTGGTACGTTTTCACGCCCCAAATTATTCTCAAATGCGATGTACATAGACGGGAGAAGACGCAGTGTCCAAAGTCGAAAGAAAGCCTTCTTTTGGGTTACTGATGTTCAAATACACGGCATAATTTCATCGAACAACAGAATTTACGAAACCTCCACTCAGACAATTACGCCTTTACTGACTGACTGGACAACGCAATCATACTGCTTCAGAGATTACAGAGATTAAAATTTATGTGAACTGGTAATCCGGTTCTAAAGGCCCCTCCTTGGAATGTCACCGCCCAAGTATGACTACGCCACTAGAAGTAACAATATGGGTGGAGTGGTATAGCATTCTCCAAGATCTTGGGGTCGTATCTCTTCACCCCTTACAAGATCCTTCACCGAAGAAGTATGCATTAGTTAATGGATACCACGTTATAGCTTGTCACAGGCGGGCTGTGGATTGTAGCATGTATTGTACATCACTAAAACTATTTTACGTCAATAAACATTTAATTTATAAAGCTACATCTTTCATAAAACATTTTGTGCGTAACTCTGATGTTAATTTCTAAAACTAAATTAGTAAAGTATTTTAATTCCTAAGTTTCAAGACGTTTTCTGATTGGATTTTAAACCGTCCATTCAGCAGGCCTATTTTTAAGGGTTTTTTTTGTAACGATTTTAAATCATGAAGGAAGGTACCGGAAATATCTTCTAGATTCCTGTAAAATACTATTTTATTCGGAGGTTGAACCATCAATTCGATTCGTGACGAGCTGACCATAAAGCAGAATTCGCTGCAGATACATTGGCACATCTCGTCCCGAACAATTGAATGGCAATGACGGAATGCCTTGCGACAACGATTAGCGAACAAAGAGTGAGCGGCTGCTTCATTATTCGTGATTCGAAAATACGGCGGCAGCCATCATTTAAGTTTACATTCTGCAATGCAGAATCACATTAACGCAGATCAAGTTTAATGCCTTATAACTTCATACAATTGTTTTAAAACATAATCCAGACCTCAAAGCAAGAATAAGAAAGCGAGAATTCCAGGAGTATGAAGAGATCAATGTTATTCTGTCTCCATTTCCTACCAACAGAACCCACGGCAACAAGTTTAAATAAACTTGGTTTCAATTATAAGTTGGAGAACACGGTGCTGTGGAGAATATTTGGATCTAAAAGAGAGGAATACCAGGAAGATGGACATATTTGCATTATTAGGAGCTCAATTATTTGTACTACTCATCAAATATTATTGGCGTGATCAAATCAAGTAGAGTAAAGAGACAAGAAATGCGTACACAATTATGGCCGGAAAGTTCAAACGATAGAGACCATTAGCGAGACCTCATTGTAGATAGATCAATATTAAATGGATTTTAATAAATTAGGGCGTGAGGATATGGACTAAATTCTTGTGGCTCAGGAATGGACCAGGTGGCGGGCTCTATGAACAAGGTAATAAACAATCGGGTTGTTTAAAAAAGCAATTTCTGGGCGATTAGGTTCTAAAACAGACCTTTGTTCCGCGGAGTTTGTTTCTTTGTTTGCTTCAATAATACTCATCCGAACATACCGAATTTTGAGATTTCCCTTTCCATGAACAAGCTTCAGTTTATATGATAGGAGTATAATGCCGCAATGTGAACAGTGAAACAAACCTTTCGCAACGCCGAGATTTCTTCTGGGAGATGTAATGGTTTCCGCAGTACAAAACTTTCAATGCAGTCGAGCGCACGTTGTTCCTTCCGTCACGTCTGCGTAACGCATTGCCTGTCTGCGTATACCGTAAACGCACTTCTGGAGGTCAGTAGTTTATTCTGCCGTGCATATAAACTACGTGCGTAAATTATAAAATTCTCCGAAAGGCATACACTGAGGTCAGTAATCCGCACAAGTATGACAGATGAATAACAATAATAAACAAAATATTTATAATATCCCTTCAAACTAGGCTTACCTGTAGGCTATATAAGATATCACATAAGTAAAATAACAATAATACCATGAAGTGCTAATAAATTGCGTTTACATTAGTGAAATCATGTGATTATTCCGCTTAGTTTATGCTACCAAATTATTCGCAAACAGGATTCTACGGAAGACTAAAATTAACTCCACGGAGCAAACGTCTTTTTGAAAAGCTGATAGTCAGCCAGATAGCTAAGAAATTACCCGCCGTTTATGGAACACGAAGGTTCATTACCACGTTCACAAGATTTGGCTACTACTAAGCCAGCTCAATGCAGTTCACACATTTCCTTAAATTATATTAATATATAAAATTTCCTTAAGTTTCATGAAAACATCAGCCTCCCATTTACACCAAGTTCTTCCAAGATATCTCTTTCCTTCATGTTTCAGACTCAGAATTTGTTTGCACTTTTCATCTTTCGTCTGTCCTGCACATGCTACATACCTCACGCTCGTTGAGTTGACCACTCTTACAATACTGTTTATTTTGTTTTTGCTAAGAATGGATGGTTAGAAACATACGAACTACGCGTTATTGTGCATCATCACCGTCATACAGCAACGGAAATACCTGACTGTCGAATTCCACACTTGGGAAACATCAAGGAATAGGTGTGGAGGAATGTTTTCGCTTTGTATTTGGCGCTCATTAAAACAGTTCTAGCAAACTGCTTTAAACAAAGAAACGAGGAACACAAGTCACGAAAGCCACATCGATAATCAGAAAATGTTTAGAAACAGCAGAGGAAAGTGTCCGAATAGCAATTACACTTCTTAATAAGAGGTGTAACAGGAAACAGTACCGTGACTCAATATCACTATCGGCATCTTAAAGGTGTAGGTAACAGTGGATAACGATGTTTCATCATGTAGCTGGAAATTCATACACCAAAACTGGATATCGTGCAACACATACGGGATTCCTGAATATCTGGCAGGAAACTCAAACGTATACACAGCATTAACTAACTGTA